AATAAACTAAGTACAGTATAAATAATAAGTACAGTACAAAAATAAATAATAAATAAGTACAGTACAGAAAAAGAGCTCTTTAGATCAAATGGTGATTTATGGAATAAACTAAGTACAGTATAAATAATAAGTACAGTACAAAAATAAATAATAAGTACAGTACAGAAAAGAGCTTCTTTAGATCAAATGGTGATTTATGGAATAAACTAAGTACAGTATATTGCTTTCCTGTGAATAATTATAAGATAAATGCATGCCATATGATCTGAAGAGAAATCATTGAAATCTTTCACGTTTTCCACGTTATGTGCTGATGAGTTTTTGAAATAAGAAAGGTTATGAATGCTATATATAATGACTAAATAATTGTTTATTATAGACCAATTTAAGTTTAGACACTCATACAAATCATTTTAATATATTATCAAAATAAATATTTTTCTTCACTGTTTTGTTATTACTGCATTATTTAAATCAATTAAAATTAATTAAGAGCACTTTAATTTTAAACGGCCTCCAAAGAACACGAGTGATCCATATAACTACTGGAGGCCACATGCTATTGCAATATTACTATGTTTATTGCTATGCAATATTCATAAGTAAGACTATATCAGCTGAGAAACGAAATGTATAGAGTCAACACGATTGCTCTTCTTTTTCAAAAGTGTCCAACAGACTAAGAAATTTGCTGCCCAGAAACAGGTTCTAGGAAACTAGTTACAGTAATATCGTTAATAATACTTTGCAGACATGCCAAGTGTTAATAATGATTAAAGCAAACGCCAAGCACCTATATTAAACCATCTACCAATACGTTAGTTGAAAATAAAAGTGATTACAACAATAGCTTTTTTCTTTTAGTGAATTTTTATTCTGATTATTTACGATAGGAGAAAGAATTCAGACCTGATATATTTTGCGCTGCTGCCATCTATTATCGAAAAACAGCATTAAAATTACAGAACTACTAGATTTTTACGAAAACTTCGGAGCGGAATGGCGCAGAATTATTCGGTATAAGTTAAATTTTATTTTTACTAATTTATTTCTATTATTGCAGAATTAGAGGAAAATTTAGTGATCATGAGGGGGAGAATTATTATATAATTTATTTAGCATACTGGTAATCGAACCAACTACTAAACTTTGCACTTTTTCATTGACGCGTCAGTGTCGAAGCTAGGCTTTATCAACGATTCCTAAACTCTACTGCCCAGCGACTCCCTAAATTTTACAAATTTTACTGTTCCTACATTCTGCGCCTGGTGCGGCTGCACCTGTTGTCCTCGCTTTGGCGTCGGCCCTGGTAATTTGTACTGCACAGTCATAAATCCAATCCTCAGAATACCAATAATGAAATACTTAAATTTTTATCTATTTGTAATGGTTTCTGTATCAGAAAACTGAAAAAAATCAGAAGTACATCAGAATGTCTAGTTAAAATAAATACTTTTTCGACGAAAATAATTTTAAACGTAATTTTTTCTCAAATAGTAATTCAAATAAATGAGTTACCGCCTTAAAACGTTTTAATTTTTATTATCTGCTTCAATTAAGTAGAAAAACTAGCGGTAGGTTTTAAAAGAAGTTTAATGGGTAACAAGCTAAGTGGTAAATTTAAGTAACCCATGTTTTTAGTATAACGGTTTTGAAGGAAAAGAATCATAGAGATAAAATGATAGTATTCTCTTTTTTCAGCTCATCGTTCGTTAAACGAGGTATTAAAATTGCTAGAAATTAATAGCAAAATTTTAAGGAAGAATTTAAACTGCATTTAAACTTATCAGATTCAGTAATTAAAATTTTAATCAATTTATGTTTGTTGCTGTACCATTAATTGAAATTATTTAATTGAGAAGATGATTCTTAATTGGCAGTCTTAATTCTCAAAGTTTCTAGCGCTTTAATTAGTGGCTCCTATAATTTGACTTACTTCCTGTTTCTAAATGGTCAGGTATTTGCTTGCAAAGTTCACGGATGTATGAAAATTTTGAATTTACTTTTAAATGTTTTTTCATAGGAATGTTATCCTTCCCAGAAGCAATAGGATTATACAGAGTGCTTAGGAAGTCCCATACTCGAACATTTAAGTACTACATGGATTTATTTTACAGGCAGCAATATCGAATGGATCTCCAAGCCAGGCGCCTAACTTTCTTAATGAAGAAATGCAAGGCCTGTAGACTGGGAGTAGTTCTATATCTCCATACCAAGGAAAAGGCTGCCATGAAGCCTGGACTTTTCAACACCACACAACACATTGCGAGGAATAGTTAAATTACGCATCTCTCGTCGCCGGTGCAGGACAGATGAATTGTGTGAAAGCGTAGAGGAAACCTTTCGAGAGATAACCTCTCAGATGACCCGCAACATCTCGAAGAAACCGTAGACATACATATGTGGGCACAATACACAGCAGAGAGGTAATAGATTCATAATTCGTACACTTAAGTATTCAACCATAAGTATACACTAAATAAACTAAATTACACTGATATTGCTCTTTCTGATATTCAAACTTAGAAGTATGGAGGCACTGTCTTTCACTCAGCAGTCTTAAAATCCGTTCTGTAAAAAGTAGGGACACGTGCTTTTCTTGGCGGAAAACAAAAAATGGTATATCAACTTTTGTGCAACAACCTGCATACATACTTTCCCCAGCATTTTCAAAATCTCACATTGCGTTGTGCTTATCTCATAGTCATATTATGTTCTTACTGCATATTTGTAACTTAAATTTCTTTTAAGTTTCTACGAATGTGAAAATACGAGGAAAGCCATGAAAATATCGAAACAGTCAGTCCGTTCGTTAGCATTTAATCCCAGGGCCAACAATCAGTTATTCAGCAATCGTACAGCTCGGCCACTCATGAGCTGCTTAACTGCGGAAGGAGACGAGAGAATTTGTTTAATTGGATGTGGTTTGGTTGGCTATGGGCAAAGCACACTACAGCTATCTACCTAAGACGAAGGATGCCTTCGTGGAAGACTTTCTAATGGAAACTGGCTCGTATACAAACATTACACATGGGGGAAAACCACGAAAACGCGCATGTAGCCAGTCCGTTCGCCTGGAATCGAACCCAGGTTGGAACTACCGTAGTGTTCAGCGATTTTATCGTTCGGCCGCTGATAGGCCTTTAATAAGATATAAGAAATTAGACAAAGGCTATGTGTCTAAGGGAAGAAATGATCTCATAAAGACCTTTTTAACAGAAAGTGGTTTGTATTCGCATTACACACAAGTAAAACACTCAGGCAACCAAACGCTCGCCGAGAATCCAACTGGGAGAGAATAACGAGTTCAGCAGTCTTATCTCGTCTACTACAAAGATCAACATTTCAAGTTTGTTTATTGCGGTTAAAGTTTGTTTATTAAGCTTTTAAAAAGCAATCTGCCTTAGGAGGCTGGCTTTCTTAGCAAGCCTACGGCAAATTTATTTGAATTAAACACGGGATAAGCCACTTTTCGTATGCGTTCAGCTTGTTCAATCTCCGGGATTAAATCCCGGGAGTAAGTGTAGTCATGTGGTAATCTTATTCACTCCGCCACTGTGAGCAGTTATGCTTCAAAGGACAAAAATATGTCACAGACTTGCTACTAGTTCTATTAATCTACACAGGCGAGTACTTAATTTTTATGCAACACATTACTTAAATAGCAACACCTTAAAATTGGGAATGTTCAGAAAAGGAAACCTACGCATTAAATAATTGAAAACCATTTGGTTTCGGTTAATTTTGATTATGGCAAAACCCTCGAGGGCTATCTAGCTGGAGAGATGCCTTCTAAGGGAAACTGGCTTTTAAACACACTTCACATGGGGAAAAACGCCCATGCAAGCCAGCTCTTCCGTGAGGATTCGAGTCCCGCGTCGAACTACCAGTGGTCGGCCGCTAATGGGCTATAAACAGTATAGACAATTTGCGCTTTCAACATTTATAGAATTACAGCAAACAGCTATTTGAAAGACGACTATTAAATGGTTTAGTACTAAAATAATAGCCACTAAAATTTCCACCAATTTAATAAGACACTTCTAAATGATAAAATGCATGCAAGTGTATAATATAATGAATATGCATAAAAATATACTTAATTCTCTTAGCGCGTAATGTCCAAATGTAACCAGAGTGACTTTAAAGTTTGTATTATGAAAGTGTGCAGCCGAGGCACCTGATGAATGTTTCCGCGAAGTGTTCAAAACAGCTCAAGTAAGAAGCATTTAATTTTGTTTCCAAAGAAAGTAATATTCATATTTTAATTAGCTTTGATTAAAAATGGTTACTCTGAACCATTTTTCTCAAAACAAAATGCGCGCTTTAAGGGTACGTGCAAGAGTACGTTTCGGTTACATATTTAATTCCAGAATTACACCGATAATGTGTACAGTGATTCTTTCTACGCAACTTGAATAATCGTGATGGAGGATTACCTAGAAGTAGATGATTATAGCGGAGCATTCGAGGACTATTCATTTTAACAGATACATCTTCGCTGTTTTCTAAAGAACATAGGCTTCTATTCTCTCACTACGTGTGGGAAAATCAGATTATCCTATTACTAGCTAACACTGGTTGAAATCAGACTGCACTAGTGAGGATGAAATCTGGTTTTCCACAAACATCCAACAAAGGTACAATTATTAAAAAGTCGAATATGCCGCCGGAATGCCTTTTACCATACAGCACTTAAATTGAAAAATGTAAGTAAAGTCCTAAACGGTAATGAATTTTGTTGAAATTTCTAGCACTGCATGCGGAAAACTGCACATTGCTCTTTTAAAATGCTTAACCAAATTTCTTCATCTCCTTTTGATTTAGCCCGTCCTTCTCTAGCAGTGTCTAAATCTTTTCGAAAGATTTGACTTAATGAAAAGTATTGATCAGTGGATTAGCAGACATATAATATTTAACTTAATAACTTGAATATAATAAAACTATAAACGGCAAAATGACCAATTAAATACTATTTTTCAATAAAATCAAAGCTATAATAATATTGCAAATATTTTAATTTAATAAGGGTCTACGGTGAAATGTATTAAGCAAAGCAGACAGTCCAAATAATGAGCACCTGACTCTTCGATGTGTAAAGCATTTCTGTGCATCTATTAAAAAATATTGGGCAAAGAAATTTCGATAACCCCTTTCTTTCTGCCTCCCCCCTCTCTCTACAAGAAAACATACCGGATGACAATCTGAATTTTTTCTTTCGATGTTTCAGTACATGAATTTAGAATAGATATAAAATTTGAACATAGCCGACGGGCTATGATTTCTTCCCTTTAGCAGCTACGCAGTTAATGAAAAAGTACATGTTCTGTAAGCTGTATCTGGTACGTTTTCTTGTACAGCTTACAGAATTTGCTGTGGTAGGAACCAGAACAAGGCTAACATTTGAGGCGGTGCTTCTTTGTCAAATTAATAATTGTGCTTGGTCATCAGAAGTAGCAGAGTTAATCTTTCAATCTGTAATGTGAAAATTTCAAATGTCGTCAAAGGGTTATACGGACTCCACTTTAACAAGAATCAAACTTAGAAGTTAGAACTGTCTTAACAGTTTAGTGGGTTTCACAGAATGGCACTGGAAACGTGCTGTTGCTAAAAAAATTATTCCCATGAAAATGTAAGCCGGGATAACAGGTACCGTTAAATATTATGCGCATTTATAAACCACACATCAGATACAATTATTAAGGGACTAGTCTTATAATAAGTAAACTAAATAAACTTGTTGGTTTGGCAAATTTAATTTTCATTTTATAAAGAAACAAATTAAGCACTGATTATCACTGTCTTATTCAGAGGTGCGCTTCTTCAAAAGTATTTTTAGAGAAAGCATTAAAAATTGGCTTACATAAAATTGATAAAAGTAACTTTTATTACACATTATACTTTTTGAATGCTAAAATATCTGAAACGGCATTAGCTGCATTTGCTCTCTAACGAAAATATAACGCCAATAAAGAGCATAAACATTGAGAATCAGTTATCAGTATAAAATATAATTCTGAATTATTTTCAGATTTAAAAACTATGCTAAAAACTTTGGCTTTGTTCAAACTCCGTGCAAAAATTATGTCCACTGGATTATATTAGAAATATTTACGATTTTTATACTTAAATTTCAATGCAAGTTTTTGAACACCTGATTTTGCAACAAATTCGAGATCCGTGGCAGTGGCTGCTCTGTGCGCATGTGTCTTGAGCAAGAAACCAGAAAAAGCAAATGCCAGGTGGTGGACATTCTGGAACCACTAATGTTTCGGAGATGTTTTCAGCGAGAGTTGGACGTATTGTCATAACATTAACTTCTTTAGTAAATAAGTCTTCTGTTGCATTCTTTTCTTTTTGCATTTTTTGAGAATTTCTTGTGGCAGACTCCGAGAAAGGTTCAAGTTCATCGAGATATTCCAAGTTATTTTCCGCGACTTTAATATCTCCGGAAGAGATCAGTTTTTCCTCTGACAAATTACGATTAGATTGAAGAACACGTTCTCCAGGAATAAATACTTCGTCTATTAAAGGATTGTAATTTTCTTCCATCATTGCATGATTAGTGGACAATTCATCCGTAAAATTCGATATGTGCATTAGTGCATTAGCACTTTTGTTTATCTCAATTTGTGTTATATATTCAGAGCCAGTATCTGAAACCTCTTCTAGGAAGCTTTCATTTTCCATATCTTGTGTTATCACCTTATCATCTTCGTTACTTCCCGAGACTGTCAATTCAAGAACTAGATTCTCAGCAGATGAAAAATTGCTTGTAACACTAGGTGCAGGCGGATTTGAAAATAATGGATTAATATCAAGCGAAGTATTATGGATTTCCGAAACAAGAACTGGAAGAGTTTCTGACTTTATAGCACTTTCAGATACATCTAAATCGAATGCCGCTTCAGTAGAATTTTCATTAATGTTCAGGCTCAGATTTCCAGTGTCAGAGTCTTTCAATAACCTTTCTGATAAACTGAAAGAAATAGATGTAAAATTTGATAAATGTTCACCAGCAAGATTGGAGAAACCATTCATATCTGAAAAAAAAAAAAAAAAAAAAAAAAAAAAAAAAAAAAATACAGTTTAGAAACTGGCAATAAATGTGAAGCAACAAATTAGCTTACAAATGGAAAAAGCAAGAAACTAAAACGCTATTTTCGCTTAGATAATAATTTCCCAGATTAATAATTATTTAGAGAACACAAAAGTATGCTACGGCTATCTGCTTAAGGGTGGATTCTTTGGCAGAGAACATTTCAAGGATACTAAATTGGTTCGTATTCGCGTTACACAGAGGAAAACCACGAAAACCTCCTTGGGTTGATCTATCAAATTTTCCTCGTTCGGCCGTTGGTGGCTCTTACAAGCTTTTATTTCGTTTATTTGCGATGTTTCATTATGTCTGAATATTGTCATCGATATTTATCCTACTTCCTGGGAAGCTATCGATTTCAAATTACACACTGTTTGTTGATGACAATGCAATGTGGTGAAGTTTTTTTTTAAATTCAATTCACGCATATCTTCGTTTAGGATATACGCTAAAAAAATATCAGAATTTTACTGTTTGCACCATCAGATACAGCAGAAACAAATCTTTAAAAGGAAACTTATTTCTTAATTGAAATTTAATTCCTAAACTTTTGGCAAGTTTTCGAAAATTGCTCAATTTGTTTTACTATTTGATGTCCATTATTTTAAAATTTCATAGGATATAAAATTTTGATTTTTTACGTATTATAAAACAAATACTTCGCCTTCTTTTCAAACAGTTATAAATATTAATTGAGTGATTGTAAAGTAATTACGAGATTCGTTAGATTAAGAGTCATTATAGGCTTTTATTCAATGAACCATTATTTAAAATGGCTATGATAATGAACTCAAAACAGAAAAAAATTACCATACAGTTTTATGGGAAAGGAGTAACAATTCATTTTACAAAATTCATCTGCAATTTTGCATCACGAAACAATCATGTGGCGCACTTGATAACAATGCACAAATAATTACTTAAGAATTTATTCCAGAATTGATTTCTTATTATCGAGTGTGCCCATGCTTTATTATCCGCGGTATGAAATCGTAGATGGATTTTGTGAAAAAAAATTGTTTAATTTCCTTTTCCTATAAAGCTGTATATGTTTTTTATTTGAGCTCGTTAATTATCATATCTATTTTAAATAAAAGCGTATTGTATAAACAACTTTTTAAAATTTTATTAGAATTTATCCAATTCATACGTAATTAACTTTTTAATCATGGCATTTAAATTATTTATTTTTAAAAGTTTTCATAGTAATTTTTTTAGTCACTAAATGAAGGATTCACAATTTTATATAATATTTTTCAACAGGAAAATATATTTATTGTATTAGTGTACATTTTTGTTAAATTTCTTGTTGTAAAATATTAGAAATGCGTATAAAATCAAAGTTATAGAAGCTCAATTTCAAAATACGAATATATATGTTTGGCACAAATAAATTCATTTGTAGGCTCATCAACAGTAGAGCGGTAAAGTCGCTGAATGCTAGTAGTTCGTTCCGGATCGAAATCCTGGGTTGCTGTGTGCAAGGGTTTCGTGGATTCGCTTATGTATAACTTGATTATAAACCCGTTTTCCTTAGAAAATACTCTCCGAATACATCTTTGCTCTCAAGCAAATAGCCCTCGAGTGCTTTGTGGTAGTCTAAATAATTCTGTCTTTGGTGAAAGTGTTTTTTGCCAAAAATTAACATAAAAAATAAACAGATTTCCTTATAATGGTTAAGTTTTATTACTAACAGAACTATAACAAATATAACAAAATGAAATGTACAAAAAATTAATACAATTTCAAATATTTCAAACTTAAAAATCACTAGCCCCCAAAAACGTTTTAAAGTGATTCTGCGCAGAAAAACAATTGTTTTGCTTTAAGGTATAATAATGAAGGCCTTGCTTGTTTAATAATGATAGAAATTAACTGTAACAAAGCGTGTAAAGCTATCTTCCCAAAAGGTGTTATAATGTTATCGTAATTGAGTTTTCTAAGTCAAACTGGCTCGTATTTATGCTGCATACGCTCTAACAAACTAGTCGGAAGAACAGATTCCAACCCAACTGAGACTACTAGTGTTGGAGCGATGTTATCCACTCTGCCACTGATATTCATTAAGACAATGTTAAAACCTTAGTTTATTTTAATACACTAATCTAAATTTATCAATATACTTTTTATTTCAACAACCAGTTTGTTCAGCTGTAAAGCATGCAGTTTTATTTGTACGAATACTTACCTTCATACTCTCCCTAACATACAAAATGCCGTATTAAGAAGGAATACTTAAAAAGCAGACCAAGCATAGACAGCCAAACAGCTGCAGAACAAATTATTTAAGCTACACACACTAACAATTCCCAGTGGTCTGTATTACGCGGTGATCAGTTAGTGGGACGCTCGAATTTGAACGATACATTCATAAATAAGTTTTCATTCTGAAAATAATTTGCGTTGATGAAAACTTTTGTTAAATGTTACGCGTTTTTTCAAATTGCAAAATATGCTATCTTAAAACTTTCGCATGTTAATGAAAAAAAACTTAATAGTAACTGTAGAATTTTGAAATGATCTTTTCATTATTCTAGATAGCAATGGCACTGCTTTCTCATTTTTAATATTTAAGTTCACACATTTTGTTTTGAAAAAAGATCTGAAAATCATTCGAAAAGCCAAAATTTGCTATGAACTCTTTGCATAATAAAATCCTCAGACTAATGACCATCATTTTAAAAATAACCATTAATTACAAGGGAAAAGTAAACAAAAAGTTAATCGATTTTTTTCACGATGCCTTACTAAACTGGATATAAACAATTTCAGATACTTACAAATGAAAAATGTTTGAGAAACTTAGTATTATCTTCTGAAAAATTTTAAACTGGCTAGAGAAAACTGAAAGGTAAATTAACCTTAAAAAAGAGTAGAGTTTTCTTTAAATTTTCTATGAGGAGGTATACAAAAGTATTATATGAAATTCTGAACCATGCGTTCAAGCATCTATTTGCTTTACTCCTTGAAAGTTTGTATCAAGAATTAAAATGTAGATTCAAATTGTTTTTTCCCCTTCAGTAAGCCGGACAAGACCATCATAGTTATAAGATAAGACATTAGAACCTGGTAATTTTTTCATATAATCTTAATCATTCCAATGAAAAACACTATCCATTTTTTATATAACTGACCCACCAGTGACCGGGTAGTAAAGTTAAATAACACTGGTAGTTCAGTCTAGGGTTCGAATCCCGGCAAACGGGCTAGCTGCATGGACGGTTTTGTGGTTTTCCACATGTGTAACGCGTATACGAGAGCCAGTTTCTTTTAGAAACGTATCAAATTTTCATGTGAGCACCGAGAGGTGAGAGTTAGCCTTAAAATAATTCGTAGTTAGAATTAACCTTGCAGTTGTTACGATGTCTTGTAATTCGATTTTGAGATTACAGATTATTTCATGCAATATTATGTAGACAAACATAGTTATCGATATCTTTAAATAAATTATTATAAAATTATATTTTCGATGCTTTTAAACCTATTTTTATTTAAACCTATTTTATTTATTTAATTTTAATTTTTGGTCTCAGTATCGCCAATTTTTAAAATTCTTAGTGTGAAAAACACGGAATCCCTAAATGACTGTCTTAAAATTATTTATGGCCCACCAGCGGCCGAGCGCTAGAGTCGCTGAGCACTGGTAGTTCGGTCCGAGGTTCGAATCCCGCGAACGGCTGGCTGCATGGGCGTTTTCGCGGTTTTCCTTGTGTAACGTACATACGAGCCAGTTTCCCTTAGAATGTCCTCCACGAAGGCATCCCTCCCCTTAGGTAGATAGCCCTCGAGGCTTTGCCATAACGACACACACATAAAATTATTTATACCCAGGTTACGGGCCCAACAACGGACAGATGGCAAAGTCGGTGAACACTGGTAGCTCGTCCAAGGTTCGAATCCCATGAACGTGCTGGCTGCATGGGCACTTTCGTGGTTTTTCCCATGTGTAACGTGTATACAAACCAGTTTCCTTAGAAAGTCCTCCACGAAGGCATTCCTTCCCTTAGGCAAATAGCAATTGAGTGCTTTGTCATAATCAGATAAACTAAACCAATCATATATAATAATTTCGTAATACAGGTGTTAAACCGTTAATAAAACTTATCTAGTATTTTAGCCCTTCAAGATCATTATTTTAAAGTTTGATGCTCGTATCAGCCGGTAATTTGAGAAAAAAATTGCAGTTTACTTGCGCTTAGTCCATAAGTGCAGATAACCATAGGATGTTAAACAAATCTAATTCACTGAAACATAAATTATATTTTCCATTTACAAATTTTAGGCCATTTGCCAGAAGAGCAGCAAAGGCAAACTATTATAAAATAGCAACATAACATTTTCATATTTGAAAGTGAAGCACAAAAAATTTCGAGGCATTCTTTTCCAAGTTTGAAGACTAAGTTTATTTACAATATTTATTGAAGTAGATTTTATTTGTAACATAGTTAAGAGCATGAGTTTACGAAACTATTCATATGTCAGAGTAAGACAAAAATTCCATATTCACTTTCTCTCTAGACATTCTCTTTTTTCATGTCATAAATGCTAGAAAAGTGTTGCTTTTTTGACCTTAGGAATTTAAAAAGTTTTAACAGTTCTTTAAGAAATTGATACTTTTATTGCATTGTTAATTTTAGTATTTTATAATTTCGCATTGTTGATTTTCGGCAAATAAAAACTGTCGTCAAACAGCGAGATTTAGCTCCAATAATGCATACGCGTAACATTAACACGCTTACAAGATAATGCGCTTTGATAACTCATAAGTTTACACGCTTTGGTTTTAAGCAACTGTCAGTATGCGAAATTAGTTTTTGTCAAAGTAAAAATGAAAATTTCTCTTGCATTTTAAAAAATGAAAATTTGGGATCTACCTTATACGGAACAACATACAGGCATAAGTAAGCGGGACACCATAATTTCAATATATATTTTACAGTGCAACACCGGCTTAATACTGTGCAACACCGGCTTAATATTGAATAAGTACACCCCAAAGGCGATCTGAGGATCTCCCACCACTCTTTCCCTACCACAACCACACGAAAGGGTTTTCGGTTAGCCATGTATTTTGAGTGCTCCCTTGCCACACAGACAATGTCCGCTTACAAAAATCCACGCCTTCTCCGAGATTCGAACCCAGACCCACCGGTACGGCAATCAGTGTCGGTAACCACTATAGCAAGATATTTTCGAAGTTACCAGTTTGGTTATACTGGGGTACATGCTCGAGGCATTAAAGACTCTGGAACTTGGAAAAATGGCACAGTAAAAGCACCACTGAAAACCGTAACACTTAGATTCCTATTTAAGTAAATATGTGTGGTGATGAGTTCACAAGTGAAGTGACCGTTTTGTTAATATTTTAAATCCCATTCAGATTTATAGCCGTCTGAACGATTTGCGTTACTTTTAGTAAAGTTTTACATGAAAGGAATACATGTGGCATAATATTATAGTGAAAATATGACAACACAGGTAAAATTACATTTGTCAGATGATCTCAAAGTTTGAGTTCATATTTATTAAGCATTTTATATGCTGTATCCGTAACTACCATCTGTTACCGAATTGAATGCAGATTAAACGAGGATTGAGATTACCTAATGATATAAAAATTCCACCAGAAAGGCCCGCCAGCGGCACAGCGGTAAAATCACTGAACACTGGTAGCTCCGTCCGAAGTTGGCGAGCACGAGCTGGCTTCATGAGCATTTTTATGCCTTTTCTCATGTATGAGGTGTATACGAGCCAGTTACTCGTAGAAAGTCCTCCACGAAAGCATCCTCACCTTAGGCAAATAGCCCTCGAATATTACCAAAATTATACCTTTCACCAGAATGGTTGGCGCAAGTTCACCCTTATTGGCGCCAGCTTTCATGGTCGACCGCAAAATACGGATTTATACGCATAATATGCTATTACATTTATTTAATTAAAGAAATAAAATAATGTAATCCTAAGTAAAATATCAATTAGTACATGTGGCGTAATATATAATGAAAATGTGACAACACAATTTTGCTCAAAAAACTAATTTGGTTGATCTTTAAATTATGGTAACTTAACGATTTTTTGGCGAAAATTTGGCGACCAACTTTTCTACAGCAACCCTCTATTTTTTTTTTTCCCGCCGCCATTTTGTCTTCACGAAGTAAAGACATGTTTCTTTTTATCTACTGAACTTCTTCCAACAATCTACTAGCCGAATTACACTTATGCTAGAAATTTTATCTAACAAAACTGCTTAATCATGACAAATATTCACTGCAAAATTGGGAAAAGTGCACAATACCATACTCCTTACGCATTTTTCAAAATAACACATACACATAAACCATGTACACGTCGACTTATTTTTACTTAAAAAAACATCCCAGAATTACACAGAAATGGCATTGCGCACACTCTTCACTATATCCATGTACACTGCTTTTTTCTCATAAATTAGAAAAATTTCACGAAAATGCATGACAATTTTCTGAATCTTTAAACCCGTTAAAAAGAACATATATGAAATTACCTAATAACGAAAAAGTATATACCCTTTCCAAATATGAACATTTCCACGTATAAAATAAAATATCCAAAAACTTTTACCTCTAAATTATCTGTTACATTATAAACGTCACTAACGAACTCATACCGCAAACATTACAAATACTTAGTGTCAAATATTTAAATTATTTCCATGCACGTTTACTTCAACTAAAACGTATACCAAATTCCTACAAACATAAAATTCACAAAATAACTATCATTTAATTAAAATATAATTAAATTCAAAAACACTACTTAAAATATAAATAAGCACATACATTAAATTAATAAAAAATAGCTTACAATCCTAGTTACTTTAAACTAAATCATTGCTAATAACAGTTTTCCTAATAATACCAAATTACTTTACTTCCACCTTACATTTAGAACAATGCATAAAAATAATATCCTCAAATAATTAAAAATACTAATTTACCTAATCTTCAGAATCTTCAGTACGTGGCACGCACACTTCCACTATTTCACACAACACACAATGAAGCTTAATACAAAATAATATAGTACTACAGTTTCCCAAATTTCCCCCTTTTCCGATTAAAGAACCGTAATTCGTCCATTAATATCACATGACATATCCCATGATCTCTCATTTCCCTCACACAAAATAATGCGTAATCGAAACTGAGTACTGCTCACATTATTACCAAAGTCCCAGGTAGTAACCTTTATCGCCTCCAAAATGTCGCCAAACTACCAGTTACCATATTATAAAAATCAGCCATTTTTATTTCTGAAGCATGAAATAATGAGCATAATGAAAAAAATAATTTACATTTCACATCTCTTTTAGACTATTGCAAAAGGGCTTAAAACGCTTTATATTCTCTCCTTTCATGCAGTTTTCAGAGTTTTCTGTATAAATTGCATTAATTATAATAAATGAAAAATAATTGGAACATTACTTCGCAATGCGCAAGCCTTTAAAAAAAAAAAAAAAATGACTGGAGGTATGAAACAATTCTTAAACGACTTACCAGAGATTAAGATTGCCGTCTTTAGAACTTTTTCTTCCCCTTCAATAAACACGTCTTCAGAAATATTATTCAAACCCGTTGATAACACTTCTGTGTTGTCATTCTCTTCTACAGCGTCGGTCTTGAAATCTTCATCAAGAAGTTTAGCTAAATTTGACAGCAGAATGTTTTCATTCGCATCAGGATTACTAACTGTCTGTTTTTCACAATCTAAATTTTGGAACTTATCTTGAGGAACATTTTTTTTAGGACATCTGAATTCTCGCAACACAATGGCTTCGATGATATATAAACTATAAAAGTAAATGAAAACTAACGCGCTCACATTCATTCTGCATGCCAGCATGTTCTCTCGATGGATGATGTACAACAGTAGCTGGAAGGTCCACTGAGGAAATCTCCAGTTACATTTCACGCTATAAGATAGGGGTACTAAATCGATGTAAAACTGATAAATAATCGATAATATTAATTTAAAATTTAAATCACATTATGAAAGACAAATACAGGTGGCTTTAAATTGGTAAGTACATTTTCAGTAATTTATTACGCAAAAAAGGAAGATATAAATCAGTTACAGCCATACCGAGAGTAATGCAAACTACAAAAGTATTTTGTAGTACTCGTATTTTTATGTAAATTACAAAAGTATTTGTAATGTAAACTACAAAAATATTTTACTTCACACTCCTCCAGCATATTCTGGATATGCTGGAGGAACAAACACATGTTTTCTAAATTGTTTCTATGACCTTTTGTTTCAAATCTGCATGACTTCTTTTCTCGTAGGACTGCATCAAAATTATTCTCACTATTATTCCTCTTTATCTAATATTTTTATCTTCTCGTATTTTCTATACTTGCAGGGTGAAGTCCGGTTATGAGGTTATTGAGTTAAGGTAAAGCACATGAAATCTATCTGCTTAAGAGAAAGGATGCCTTCGAGGAGGACTTTCAAAAGGAAATTGACTCATGTTAACATTACACAGATGGAAAAGCATGAAACTCCCACATAGCCAACCCTTTCATCAGGATTTGAAGATTGATTCATTTTTTGAATAATAAAAATATTGAAATATTCACTTCACAACCAGTATAATAAGTAATTTTCTTTTAAAGATTTCGTGATAATATTCCTGTGATAAAATATGTACTATTTCCTGCTTACATTATCTTCAAAATGATTCTATATTTTCTGTATGAGCTTTCAAGGCAGGCCCAACATACACCAACAGCATTGATTCGTATATGAATATATATTTGGAAATGCCAACTAGAGGTTCTAGAAATAAACGAATAGGAAAAATTAAAAGAGCACAAAAAAAAAAAAAAAAAAAAAAAAAAAAAAAGATTTTGCACTATTTTTATTAACCATATGTTTACAACAAGAGAATAAGGTTAGGGGACCCAATCGCCAAATCCTGGTGGTGAAGCATCATCATACATTACCTAGTAGCTCGGGCGCCACTGTAGAGTCATTTGATTATTTTGAAGCAGAATACATGAAAAACTGAGCAGTGCTTTCGCCGGGATTCAAACATAGACCTCTAGAATACGGGCCGAATGCGCTACCGTTACACCACGAAGGTATGCTAGAAGGAGGGAGAAAATACCTTATACTCCAACTTTTAAAAGGCGACTGGGGATTAAGGGACCCAATCGCCAAATCCTCGTGGTAAAGAATCATCATCCACCACCTCGGACGCCACCACTGTAGAGATATTAGTTTTTTTTTTTTTTTTTTTTTTAAAGCAGAAAAAGTGAAAATGAGCAATGCTCTCGTCCTGACTCGAACCTGGACCTCTCGAAATACGCGCCGAGTGTGCTACCGTTACACCATGAAGGCAAGCAGAAAGGATAAAGAAAAGTTAATTTTTTCCATAATCTTCAGAACGAAGAAACGGCAATATTTAATGATTTATCACTTGCGTTCTGCTCACAGAAAAGTTCTTACGTTTTTGCGACATTAACACATCCGTACATAGGACGGCCTAACTAGTAATTTAGCTTTAAAAAAATGTTCCAAAAATTCTCGGCTTGTAGACGGAAATATACGGCATATTTTACTAAAATAATAAGAGTATAAATTGAATGTAATTTAGACAAAACAAATTAGTGCCAAAAATAATGTATGCCAAAATAATTAGTATTTACTATTTTATCAAAAAAAAAAAAAAAAGAAAAAGAAAAAAGAAATATTAAAGAGATTGTAGAGTGATTAGGTTTTTGACTCTAACCTGGACCTCTCGAATACGCGCCGAGTGTGCTACCGTTATACCATGAAGGCATACTGGTAGGAGGGTGAAAATACCTTAATAATACTGCCCCTTTTAAAGGGCGACTGAGGATTAGAGGACCCAGTCGTCAAATCCTGGTGATGACGATCTACCATCTTTTAGTTCGGGGGCCACTGTAGAGTCATTAGGTTTTTTTGAAGCAGGAGGCATGAAAAATGAGCAATGCCCTCGCCGGGACTCGAAGCTGGGCGTCGCGCCGCGTGTGCTACCGTTACATAATGAAGGCATGCTGGAAGGAGGGACAAAATCCCTTATAAAATTAAAAATCAGTTTTTAAAAGTGTTCTAGTTTTTACGGCATTAATATTTGTTTTCAAATATCATTTAATATTTTCAACATGGATTCAGAAAGATTTTTTATTTCTAGACATACTTCGTTGCATTTACCTGGTAATAGTGATTCCAACTATTCTTTTGGAAAAGATATCTTGTTTCTTAATTTTACATTCCAATTATTGTAAAATTTGTTTGACAAGTATTATATTTAAACATGGAAAAAATGTTTGGATTATGTTAAAATTTGTTACAATTAAAATTAGAATAAAATCATACATTCATAACAATGTGCTTAAGAGCATCATATTGGAAGAATATGAAATTATATTATAAATTTTTATGCTGATATTTCTAAATTTCATATTAAGATATGAATATATCTCTAAAGATTCACATTACTTTAAGTTTTCCATGGACCACATACATCCCTAAATTATAATTCCTATTTCAACATATTCAACTATTGAAGCAAAATTTTACTTTTCAAACTTTTTGTTAGGGCTTTATGATTTTATCCCAATTATAAATAATATTCCTCATAGATTATGAAAAAACATCTAATTTAACATTTTTGGAAAGGGGGGGGAAGGACTAATGTAGAATTTTATCTCTTGTAACTCAGGTCTCATATTCAGTAGTCTAAATTGTTATTCTAAATGTCTCTGAATTATCATAATACTCCACATGATACATAAAATTTTGCTACAAGTTTCAAAGCACTAAGTGTTTAATGATTTTGGAATTTACAACTATAATTAATTGTAATTCCAAAAAGTAACTTCTAAACCATCTTTAATTCTGAATTCTGTATCAAAAATTGCTGCATCAAAAAATTGTTTAAATTAACCATTTTAGCAATTTTTCTAACAGACATTTTTTTTCCCTTGGTCGATAACCAAAAACTACATTAAGAATTTCTATATTAGGTAATATTTTTTAAGCAGCCATGATAACAAAATACTGAAAGAACCCAAATTCTAACTTTGTCAAAGAATTTAAGAACCAGAAGTAACATTTTCATGCAAAATATATGTATAACAAACTGGGTTTGCTTGCCTTTTTTATGCTTTTAATTCTGCATGCTGAAATAAGTAAATATACTATACTTTTGAAAAGTAAAATAATGGTAGATATTTCAGATCTGTTTTACTGAAATTATTCTGAGCTTTTACTAATATTGCACTAGTGTTGCATTTCAAACTGTTTCTTTTATTAATCAAAGAAAATTAAGTTACCTTGAATACTGCTATATTGAAAAAATGCTAAGTATTTAGAATTTTTTCAAAATGAAACAATTAGTACTAATAAATTAGTACAATATTCAAAAATGGAGGTAGAAGATAGAGAGTTTTAAATGGAACTCCAGTATAGAATTTTAAAGGGAATGAAAGCCCATATGTGAAATTCTTGTTGAGGATCTTGCAATTTCTAAAACTGGCTTTGATAATATGCCATATTATTATTAAGAAGTGAATACTTATATTTTTGCAATGTCATGAGGTAATGAAATCAAATTTCACCAGCACTTCTATAGTTTTTTAATAAATTTCATTATCTCTTTTTTCATATAGTTTATTGTTCTTATTTCCGAAAGCCACATTTTTTAATGGCTTGCAAATAAATATTCTAGTTTCTAAGTACAGTTGCTGTTCTCTGTTAATTGTGCAATTGTTATCAAGTAGAATGTTTCTAACTTTTACCATATATTTCTTACAATTTTACATATGCTTTACATTAATTTTATGCTGAGGCAGATGCTGTTCTCCAACCTGAAAACACCTGCATTTACTTTACACAAGGCATTTGAAACAAATGAAAATATATTATTGGATAATTAAAACACAATAACACGCTGAACAAATACTAATTCAGAAGTCAAACAACAAAAATCAGCGTTATATTTTCAAATTTTCACAGGACTAGTTTCGATGGTTTAACAGAAACATCATTCTCAGCTGCAAAAGCGCAAATGAATGAGATAGGATATAATGATTAGATAAGATAAGAAAGCCTGTACAGGAGATAAGCCACTGGCACCATCTGTTGGTGAAACCAGAACTAAAACATAATTTCTTTAAAGGCTGAAGGCAAAGATGGATTGGAATTAGGGTCGTTAACTAGAACAGAAAGATTTTTTTTTTTTTTTTTTTTAATGTGAAATGCCTCTAGAAAATCCAAACTCAGAAGACTTCTGTTGCCCATCATTGTTGGTCCGAAAATCACACTTTCAATTTTTCTGCTGCCAAATTTATTCAAAAAACATCTTCCATTGGTGCACTGGAGTTTCTAGAGGCATTTCACATTCAAAAAAATCTTTCTGTTCTAGTAAACGACCCTAATTTCAATCCATCGTTGCCTTCAGCCTTTAAAGAAATTATGTTTTAGTTCTTGTCTCATCATTATATCCTATCTCATTCATTTGCACTTTTGCAGCTGAGGATGATGCTTTGGTTAAACCATCGAAACTAGTCCTGTGAAAATTTGAAAATATAGCACTGATTTCTGTTGTATGACTTCTGAATTAATATTACTGGATGCTTAATCATAATAGTAACTAAGTGCTTCAATGTAAATGTTGGTAAGGCAATGCAATTTTACAGTTACGATTTTAATGTGGATTTTAGATATAATTTCTACATATAATAAAACAAAGAGTCTGTCTGTGTGTGTGTGTGTCTTTCGTTCGCGCTGCGCATAATCTAATAGATCCACGGCTACGAAATTTGGTACATAGGTGCATCTACACAAGAGCCAGTGCACCTCGAAGCGTATTTTTTTTTTTTTTCGAAATTCGAATTCGAATTTTTTTTATTTTATGTTTTGTGATGAAATTGCATCATTTTGAGACATAATGGGCTATAGGAAAGCGAGATTTTACTCTACACACTCCATTTTTACATCGTCATGAAACGTAGGCACTTAGCTATTTTATGAACTTAAAATTAATTTCGTGTTTCAATAAATCGATTCAATATGAATTTATTTAACAAAGAGAGCTTAACACCTTTTCAGGGGGATATTTTCTAAAAATGTTTATTTTTAAAAATGTACAGTTTATTTTTCTTTGATTTTTGGACATGTTAAACTTTTATCCTTGCGACTGCTTTTACAAAAAGAATTTTGGAAAAATAATAATATTTTGTATTTTTAAAGAATTTTTTAAATGAAGCTTCCGAGTATACTTCTTACATCTCACATCTTTAAAAATGTGATTTTGGCAACAGTCTTATTGTTGTTGATAGATTTTTGATGAAAACGCATCATTTTGAATAGTTTCATTCTTTTAGAAATATGGGTTTGGCAACAATTTTTCATCGTATTTCTTATGTCACTCTTTTTAAGAGATTGGCATATTTCATTGTCATTTTTTTATATTGATTTTTTTTTGATAAAGTTGTTCTGCAGAGTGAAATTCTGAGAGGCATTTTATGTTTTTTGAGTTGCTTTCATGTTATTTTTTGCTTATTTCACTGTTTGTAAGATATTGAAAAGCTTTGCATGATTTTTTTTTCTTCAACGGAAAATTGGTTAATTTTTTAATTAGGATAATTAATATTTGTATTAATAGATATAGCTTATTTCATTGTAATTTTTTTCTCTTGAAAATATAAGATAAAATATAATTAATTATACTTTGCTTTTCAGAAGTTTTTGTTTTTTGTATTCTTTTATGTTATTTATTGCTCATTTCACTGTTTTTAAGATATTGAAAAGTTTTGAGTGATTTTTTAAGGAAGCAAAGTTCTTAACAACCTTTATACCATTTGAGTTTTTAAGATTTTGCAAAGGGAAGTTGGTTAATTTATTTATTAGAATAATTAATATTTGTATTAAGGGATATTGCTTATTTCATTGTAATTTTGTTATACGTAATAGCTTTTTTTATGAAGTTGTTCTGCAGATTAAAATTCTACGCAGTTTTTAAATTTAACGTTTGGTGTTTCCTTCAGCCATTTTTCCTGTATATTTAAAAGCCAGACGAAGGCTGGCAGCGAAGCTGCTAGTTACATTATAAAACAATTGTTGAAGAATACAGTAATGTTTATGAAATATGTGCCATGTTATTTGTTTTATAACAGTGTTGCTCTGGATGCTGGAATGATGAAACCAAGACTACAGGTTCCACTCTGAAATAAGACTTGAAGATTTATATGTGCCCTCCCTCCCTTTCTAGCCAGTGTAACTTTAATCTACCTCTGATGATGTACTTCTAGGACTTGGTCATTAATGAGGAATGTTTGAGAAGTAAGTGATTGGTCATACGACAAAAAATATTACTCTAACATTGAATTACATTTTAGCTTTAGCCCTTAGAAGGTACTTTTGACTGTATGTGTGCATGCATGCGAAAAGTAGTAAAACCAGCCCTGCTATAGTTACATATTCTAGCCATTTTCTACCTTGGCCTAAAGGGGAAAATTATTTTAAATTATTATTGGGCTGCAAGAAACCTACTTCCTATTCTTCTTTAATTATGAAAATATATTTTTGATTTTTATTTTTATTTTATATATTTTGTACCATTATGTGCTTTTGCATATTATTCTTTGAGCCTAAGGACACTCACTGTCCACTAAGAACATTACATAGAAACATATGAAATTAAAATTATACTACCTTAATGTTCCTGAAAAATGCAACACCATGAAGGAATTGTCGGAAATTTATTATTCCACCTATTACTGATATTGATGCAAACAAATGGTCAAATTTACAAGACAAAAATCAAAATGAATATCAGAAATCAGTACTTTGTGTGTCTGCCACACTAAGCGATGAGAGCCTGTACATGCTGTGCCATTCCATATGGCTTCGACTTGATGCTAAAGTTCAGTTTTAGTCTGAGCCCCACCAACTGTATGAGCGAGTCGCCAACCAATGAAATCTCAAACATGCTCAATGGGCAAATTTGGGGAATACGCAAGCCATGGAAGAAGCAAAACATGCCATGCCCTAAAGAAGGCTTGTGCAATCTGAAAAACATGTGCACATGCATTATCCTGCGGAAATACAGTGCCCAGAATGTGTTGAAGAATGGGGAGGACCTCTCGCTTCACAACTTTCCTTATATAACAATTATTGTTGAGGTTGCCTGCAATCTGCACTAGTTGGGATGCACAATTATACCCAGTAGTCCCCCACACCATGATTACCAGGCGTTTGTGCAGTATGACAGTGAATAACTCACTGTGGAAGCAGATGTTCCTTTCTGTAATGTCTGATGCATACTCTTCCATCACTGTACTTCAGATTGTAGCAAGATTCATTAAAGAAAACAACTTGTTGCTGCAGAGAATGCCGCATACTGTGTCGCCATGCCCACTGAAATTGGAGGTGTCTATGATTTAGCAACTTGGAGTGATTAGCAACTTGTCTGTGATTTAGGAACTGAAGTTGGAAGTGTCTGTGATTTTTAGAAATCCTGCATAGAGGAACCCCTGCATGAAGTTCATGCTACATCAGAAGGTGACAAATTGTGGAGCTAGACAACACAATGTTGTGTTAACACATGAGAGGACGCTGTAGGATCCACCACAGGCATGCAGATGAGGTGTCTGCTATCCCATGCCGTTGTGCTACTGCATTGCTCACTGCAAGAATTTCAATTCGTTTGGTTCTCCTCTGTCCATTTATTTCAAACATATACCTTGGGCATGGTATTATGTTGTGTGCGGGCTGCGACTAATCAATACAAAAGTCGACCCTTTTGCATACTGATAATGCAGGCTCGTTTGAACTCCGTTAGTTGTTGGTATGGCTTTTTATGCTGTCAATGAAGCATGCTGACCACTAATTAGACATTCACCACAGACAGAAGATGATAAACAGGTTTTAACACAACTTTACAATCTTTTATATACATGGAACAAGTGGTTGGTTCTCATTCCATGCAGGTGCAATCACTTTGTAATTCTAATAATTTGCATGTCTTACCTCAAATCATATTATTTCCTGTACATTTGGTTCAATTTGCATAATTCCTTCATGGTACTGCAATTTTCAGAAGCATTAGTGTATATACTAACAGCACTTTGAATTGTTTTACAAACAACAACAACCAACAACAACAAACTTAAAAAAAAAAAAAAAAAAAAAAACCACTTTTAGATAAGAAAATATTAATTTATTATATTTTATTTCATATACAATTTTTTTTCTATATGCATGATTTCACAGTACAGCTGAGCAATATTTGCCTGGATATAATTGCTTAAAAAAATTAAAAGCCACTTGAAAGAACTGGGCAGTTTATCCAACCACTCTGATTTTGATGACATTAATAATCTGTGAGTGAATTTTTTAATCCAATATTTTGAAGAAGTCCTGATAATATTGTTCGCAGTTGGTGCCGAATGGTCCAAAATGAAGATTTTTACTGATTTATAAAGTGTCGACAGTAATAAGCGAAGCAATTCATTTTCTTCAGCATCATCCCGAGATGGTTTAGGTAAAATCAAATGAGACGAAAAATCTTCTTTCAAAATACTGAAATCAATTTCTCTTGTTTCATTAAATGCATAAAAGGTTTTCCATTCTTCCATAAAGCTCCTAACTTGAGATTTTAGTGGGAAGGATGTTGGCTCATAGATACTTCTCTGTTGAATATTTACAATATCAGACAGCACATCTTTAAATCCACTGCCTGAATTTAATTGATACACTACAACAGAAAAAAAAAAAAAGGAATAAACAATTTTATAAATGCAAAATAAACATCTGAAATAATATAAAAAGCAGAAAAATCTTTAAAATTACCATTCACATTTTACTATTACATGCAACTCAAATTATTCTGTTCTGTCAATTCATTTCACACAATGTGAACAATGTAAAAAATAAGTGTTAGAAACATAAGAAACAAAATATTTAATTTCCTGATCTTCAGTTTTAGAATTTAGTTTCCATACATAAATACAGACATTTCTTTCCTCCTGAATATTTGGGGGGGGGCATTACTCTAAAATGAAAAACTAAAAGCTGATTTAAAAGGCCAGAGAGCACTAAGGTTGAACTGGATGGTTTTCATTTGCTAAATCCTTTGTTAAAACAATCAGTTTAAAATGTTTCACACATATAAAAATATCCCACAGGGCAAAGGAGAAGCATGCAAAGAAGCAGAAAATTAGGCAAAGGCATAGCAGAAAAGTGAGGTTGACCAATGATAACTGATGCTGCAAATCTGTTTTTAATCAGTATGGTTAGAGGCATTATGGTTAGAGGATCTGCTGCCACATCATTGGGCCCAACTTCAAACCCTGCAAAAAATGTGGGTGTTTGCAGTTGGGTAATGAAAAGACTAACCAGTAAATATGGCCACATGATGAATGCTGAACAAACAAGTGCCTTGCACTAGCTAAGAAAAATTTAGTGAGGGTAGACCTACTCTATGTTTGAACATGTCTTTTTAATTTTACAGATAGACATATTTTCTTATTCAGCCACAAAGTTTCACTGTCCAAGTCCTGTAACTGCTGTGTCAAGATTTCCCACTAAATTGTCAATTGAAATTTTTTCACTCTCAGCAACCTCTCTGTTACTTTCCTCACTATCGTTAGTGGTATTTTCTGGAATTAGGACCATACTGCATCTGTTAGTTGACTGATTGGGCACTGTCATCACAAAGGAAAACTTCTATTATATAATTTTCATTTCTTCACATTTCTTCCCAAATTCCATTAACTAGAAAATTTACTTTTTTTTTGGTGATAGCCAAAAATCTTTGAATTCCTAGTTATCATTATAAAGCTTATCTAACATCCACTATACAACACTGACAATTTATTATGAGACTGGTGACTTGAGACAAGTTATTCTGCTAAATTTTGTCTTGCTTCTATTATTCATTGAGAAAGGTTAAGCTTGAATTATGTTAGTTTTGTTATTTATTATATTTATGTCTATTGATCATAAGTATAGCTTATCTGAGTGCTAAATAAATAAATTTCCACACATATTTAAGGCCTTTATCTGGGCAAGAGATCAGCTATTTTTAATTCAAACAGTGCTCAATTTAATTTTCAGTTTATGAATAACGTTAAAAAAATCAATTTTTTGCATATGGTAAACATTTAGAATACTTAAATGCATACAACACAGCATACACATATTTAAATATAAAAGATGGTAAAATTAAATTTAAAAAATGGAATACTAATTGAAGCTAAATTATCATACATGTGGTACAATATGATAATTTTGAGTGTTAAAAAAATTTAATGTATAAACATTGCATCATGTATATAACGAAAATAAATAGTCTTTAAGTTTTATCATGTAATTTCTATGAACATAACAGTAAACAACTCGTAAATTCAGAGAAATATTTATTCACTTTTTTTAAGGTGATAACTAAAGGGAAATGCAGCGGAAAGAAAAACATACCAATGTAAAAATAAAACTGGGAGGAGGGGAGGCGGGTTCGGCAATCACTTAAACAGGCATAGATTTTAAATAAAAGTCTATAAATTTTGAGGAAATCTGTTCCTTTTAAAAAGAAATCTATTCTTAGAATAAAAATTGAGGGTTGTTATATAATTAATTAAAATTTTACATTTAATTTTGATTTCTTCAATTTAAGTAGTTTTTTCTTATTTTAGCTGATTCTACCTGGAAAATATTTAAGTGTGTTAAATAACATTTAATAATGCAGTCATAAAATATTAACAGCCACAGTATGTATAAAAAGAAAAATGAGTTTTTCTTTTTATACATACTGTGTTAATATTTTATGACTGGTTGTATGGTGTATTAATTTTACAGGGCTTAAAATCACTAAAATAATTTTTCTCATTATATTGCTTATTGATAATAAAATTATGAAAAATATAAGACATTTACTAACCAGTTTTATTATCATCAAGAACACACAATGGCTCAATTGGATAATTAGCCAAAATTCTTTCAACACTTAGAGTATCAATACGATGGCTGAAAATATAAATAAAGAATTCAGTTATGAACCGTATAATCAAATAACTATCATTTATTTAAAAATAGAAAAAGGGTACATATGTAAGTCGATATTATTTTGAGAGCTAAATAAGCTAACTATTACAATTGAAGCAAATTCATTACAGCAAAAAGGAGCAAATTCTTTTCAGAAATGATATTTTGAACTTTTTTTCCTATTTACAAATGGTATAAAATATCAAGTTCAGAACATATATACTTTTACACTCACAGTGCACCACAGATTTTGTTTCTAAGGTTTATTTTCCTTTATTATTTAAAACCACCTAAAATTAGCCCAATATAGTTTTATTTATAATTTAGAAAGTTATTATAAACATAAAACCTTTTCTTATTTTGTGAATCTATCTAAACACACATCAAAACTTCAAGTTGAAAATTCTATAGAAGGTTCCCTTTTGTTTGTTACTTATATATCTACACAGATATATGAAGAAACAATTAATTAATTTTCCTATATTTTATAAATAAAAATTAAAGAAAAGAAAAACTGTACTTTAAAAAAATTAGTTTTTGAAAAAGATGTTTGAATTATATAATGAATCTTAAATGCTAAAAGGAAAGAAAAACATACAAAAATTATGCAGTTAGAGAATGAAACAATATTAAATTATATTAATCCAAAAAAAAAATCTGGACACCATGACTTCCTTATATTAAATATTTAATTACATGCATTTTTTGCTGCATTTCATTTAAACTTATTTACTCGAATTTCATTAGATACATTTCTTATTCAATTAAATTCAGTTCTCACTTTGTGACAACGTAAAAATACATAAAATCTCAAAACATCTTCATTAAAAGTTGAAAAATTTAGAAAAATATAAAGCACCAAATACAATTAAAACAATTAAAAAATAATTTTTGCAATTAAAATTATAGTTCCCCCACAAAAACAAGCAATTTGACCAGAAGGCAAGAAAGCAAATTTTTTGGTGCACAAAACTGAAAGTTTACTTTTGGTCCTACTCAGCAAAAAGACACTGAAGGTGCAGATACTGATTTAATTCACTATTCAGCTGAGTTTCAAATGTAAACCAATATAGCTGCTATGGTAAAAAAATGAGGCTTAGCCACACTTAAACAACTTTTAAATTGTTGATAATTCTGCAAATCAACTAAAGGTATAAAAACCTTAACCGGGAAATAAGGACAACATAATTCAATCATTTTAAAAGCAAAAAATGCACAATTTACCAACATATAAGAATAAAAAAAACTGAGCTAATGGAGTTGAGTAACAGAGTGGGTATATATTTATATATATAACGAGTGTCCATAATTAAACTGACAGTGCTTACAGTGTTCTGTAGCGCGATCTATTTGCGAGAATGATGCCACATTTTGTAGGAAGATTAAACAAGACGGGGGACAAAGGATTCTGCGAAAAAACAAATTAGTTCCAAAAATCACGCTAGAGGAATATTTGTCGCTGTGTAATAGAAAATAGAGTGTTAATAAATGCAAATCAGTACGGAAATTAGCTTTTATTTTGCATTCAAATGAGGTTCAATGTAGCTGCCATTGTTGTGGACCACATATTGCATTCTGTGCACAATATACACAACAGCAGAAAGTAACATGTCTGCAGGAATCTCTTGTACAGTCCGTGATATGTTATCTTTCAACGCAGCCAGGTCCTGGACCACTCCTTGATAGACTTTGGACTTAAGGTAACCCCATAGCCAAGAAGTTGCATGGGGTAAGATCAGGCGACCGAGGTGGCCATGCAGTTGGAAAGTAGCGGGTAATGACTCTTTCTGTTGTGAATTTCTGTCGTAGCATCTGTTGCATCCGTACAACAGATGCTACGACACAGCAATGTGTGGAGGGGCTCCATCTCTCATGAAAATGATTTCCCCCAGGCATTGTCTTAGCTGAAGTGCCGGAATGACAAAGCTGTTCAACATGTGGCGATATTTCTCTCTGGTAACAGAACAGGTTTCTGGTCCTGTTGGGGTAATTTTCTCATAGAAGAATGGACCTACGATAAATTCCGCTGTGAACCCACACCAAACAGTTACCTTTGGTGAATTTAAGGGAATTGCTGTGACTGCATGTGGTGATTTGTCATCCCAAATTTAGCAGTTCTGGGTATTCACAGTTCCATTCAGGTAAAAGTGGGCCTCATCTCCCCATAAGATTTTCTACAGCCAAGCATCATCCACCTCCATTCTGGCATTAAAGGTGAGAGCAAAAGTCAATCGCTTATCATGGTCGGGGTACAGTAACTCCTGTGCACGGCTGATCTTGTACGGATAGAAGTTGATAATCTTTCGTAAGATTTTCCATACCGTACTGTAAGGCATATCCATATTCCGAGCAACTCCACGAGCGCTAGAGATGGCAGCAATATTGTCTGGTCCTCTGTTGACAATCGCTGTGGCAACTGCTTCGATTGTATCCTGTGGTACAGGTTTTCGTCCTCTGCCTGACTGAACCTTCAGAGAACCTGTTTTCTCAAACGTCGCAACCATTGCTTTTTAGCCCATTAACTGACACAGGACCGTTACCTTTACGCATGTTTTTTTTTTTTTTTTTGTGCATTCTAAAAGCACGAAGAGCGGCTGATGCGGTGCACTGGTTGAGGTAAAAGAATTTGACCAGTAACTCACGCTCGACTAAAGAAGGACACATTGCACATAAACTTTCAATCCGATTGATTCGAAATGTAACACATTGCCTTTTAAAACCCAAGCAGCTGGCACTGTGCAAATGGATGTAACGTGAAATTTGAATAAAGAACTTCTTCTGCTCAGCGTACGTGATATTACAGATCATGAGACTTTATTGGTGTTTATGTAGATTTTACGCTTTTTTAAAAGTGTTCCCATATTGCACTTGAACTAAATCAGAAAATGTGCATAATAAAAGGTAATTTTATTCTGTATTAATTTGCATTTGTTAACACTCTATTTTCTATTACACAGCGCCAAATATTCTCCTAGCGGTGACTTTTGGAACTAATTGATTTTTCGCGGAATTCTTCGTCCCCCGTCTTGTTTAATCTTCCTACAAAATGTTCGCATTCTCGTAATAGATCACGCTACAGAACACTGTGAGCACTGTCAGTTTAATTATGGCCACCCGGAATAATAAAACTGTTTCATTAAATGTAAAAAAAAAAATGCATCATTATTGTGATAAAACTGTATTATTAGATGAAATAAGATGACTTGGTGAGAGTTGCAATGGACTGGCTTGGAGAGTACTGCGACTTAACTTGAAGGACTTTGTTGCGTAGTTAGCAAAATGACATTTGAAGAACACACATAACGGTTAATTCCACACGTAATTTTATTTCTTCAATAATGCATATTATCACTGCGGGTACGCTATGCACCTCACAATTTTGCTCATCTTACATCTTAAGCAATGCACAAATTTAGGAACGGAGACTTTGCAGAGCTAGGGGCACAACGGAAACAGTGCAAGAGACGAGCAAAGAGAAGAAGAAGGAGATGCGACATAATTAAGCATTTTATATACCGAATTCAACTTCAGATCATGTCACACTTTAATGTACAGGATTTTGGGTTCAGATTTCATCGCCAAGTGCACATCAGAACTGCAGGCAGTAAAATTTATTGCTGTTTTTTGTAGAATGAAACAGAAGTTAAAGGGCTATTAAATTTTTACTTGAGAGCTAGATTTTATATTTTACATCTACATATACTTTTGGTGCGGCCGATTGCAACCAAAAAGGCAGGTGAACAATTACATGGTATAGCTGTCCTATATACGAAATTTCAACATTCTGAGGCTATTCATTTTTTAATTATCTGAGATACATAACTGTACACACATCATGAAAAAAATCTCTTCTGAATTAATTTTAAATCTTATTTTGCAAGACGTTTTGGGAAAAAGTGACCTTTATTCTGTTCTTATGCACAGATGTCACACAAAAATATCATTAAATTGCATTCAATAGCTGTCAAAATGGGTATTTTTGTTGAAAGATGACGCCCGAAAATTTTTGCAATTGCAATACTTCCTTTTTATTTCGTACAAGAAAGTAAAAAGAGAAAAGAAAAGGATAAAAGACTTCTATTAGTGAAGATATCCCTGATATTTATTTATAAAGGAAGAGGAAATTTTAAAGATATAATATTTAAACTAAAAAATGATAAACTAACATGAATGCTGACAAGAAGCATTATACATTGTAGATGAATTCTTGTAAATTAAATTACAAAATAATATATACTTATTTAGTGAATTACTATTTTAATTCACTTTAATCACAAAATGACAGCAGTAAAAGTTTTTTACTTTCTTGTATGAAATAAAGGAAGTATTGCAATAGCAAAAAATTTCAAGTACCAAATTTCAATGGAAATATTCATTTTGAACATTTCCGAATCCTTTCAGATGATTTTCTGCATGACATCTGTATGTACAAACAGAATAAAAGACTCTTTTCTCAAAACATATGCATCTATCTTGATGAACTCAAGAACGATCACCCGTAGAAATGTTGAAATTTTGCAAATAGGACCAATATAACATCTATTTGTGCACCTCCCTTTTTTACTGCAATTGGCAGTACAAAACGTACATATATATAAATATCCACCTCCTCCCCATCTTAAAAGTCCTTATCTGGTTTCTGTTTTCACAATCGGTCGTTGTAGTCATATACTTTCAATCACAGATGTGTTCTAACTGTCGAAAATATTTATGTTTTGGCAATGTCAAATAAAATAATAATAATAATTTTCAATAAATTTATCCAACTTTCCATGTGTTCTGCTGGTTTCTATACTTATAATTTCTGAAAATAACATTTTATGAAGTTTTACCCTGCACAAGACAAAAACTGACAGGGATATGTAATTTCAAATTTAGCAATTTTTGATGTGATTTTCCACCTGTATTGATGGATTACTTAAGTTAAAATAATTTGAGGAAATAAGTTTGAATGAGGTGTAGCAAAAAGTGTGTGTAATTTAATAGGCTGTACAAGGAAGTTGTGATATCCAGATCACTTTTGTTATTTATGATTCCATACTAAGAAACAAATAAAACATAATTTTAATCTCGACAATTTTCGCTTCAGTAACACACAAAACTTAATTTTCCTTTATAAGTCCGATGGAAAAAATAGCAAGCAAACAAGAATATCAGAAATGGAGAAAAATGTTTTCCTTGAATTAGTTAACAAAATCGTATAAAAATAACTAAGAAGCTAAATTGATCAAAATTATTCACTTGAAATTTTTTAAAACTATACACAAATATTTCTAAAATCAGCTACACATGTTTCCAAGTGCAAATTTTAACATCAGAAAAACATAAATTTGAAAAATTGATTTCAACTTTACATTTATAGGAAACAAATCCCTTAAGAAAAGTTTTTGCCCTTCTTTATAACAAAAGTAAAAATGTTTCAAGTCATGTACTTTTCATATTTATCCCCTGAGCATTTTGTACTTCTTCCCAGTTATTTATTTATTTATTTATTATTATTATTTTGAAAAACAATCTTTGATAGGATAGAAAGCACCTTTCAAATTGGAATTTTTTTTCTAGATAACCTAGGTAAAATTTTAGACTTTGTTCACTTTCACTAAAATATATTATGCAACCAAAATTCAGCAACTTGGAAGATTACCTTTTTTGATTCATTTCTTTAGTGAGAATCAACCATTCAACAAGAATGTGAAAGTTAGCATCAGACCTTTAATATTTTGCTACATAGTCCTCTGTTAAGAAGTTTACAGAAAAGTCACAGTATAACAGGCAAAAATTTAATTTGGTTATGAGAGGTCATTAGAGAACCATCTGTAGACTGGTTTGGTTTAGTTATTAGACTATGACAAAGCACAGGGAGGGATGCCTTCATGGAAGACTCCATAATGAGAACTGGCTAATACAGTCAAAAGTCGTTAATTCGGACACCCATAATCCAGATATCAAAGCTACAAACTTTCTGCGTATGCGCCGCATTGACGCACTTTTACGGCTGCAAATACGCGCGTGCGCAAAATACATTTACGAATGCGCGTTTAATGTATAACGGACGGTATAAGCTAAGCTAAAATTATCTAATTCAGTTATGGTTGCAGATTGCGTAGTTCCTTAATCTTTGAATTGGATTCGGCATATTATTTTTTGCAGACTGTTAGAGCAACTTTCGATTATGTCAAATAGAACTTCTGATATATATTTACTAATATGTAAAGGATCTACAAAGCGAAAGTATGTTTCGAAGTCCATTAAACTAAAAGTTGAATTGCTGCAAAAAAATGGATAAAGGCATATCCTTTGTTTATCTAAACTTTAACGTTTGTTTATCTTTAATGCCACGGCGTGCAATGAATTAGAAGTTGATCTGTCAGCACTATCCTTATCTTCAGGGCAGATGTTTTTATTTTATTTGGCTTATAACTCCTTACTAAATGTAGTATTTCATCTCGATGGACACCATCTTTGATATGATTTAAATCAAATTCCTCGTCATTATAATTCGCTTCCGATAGCGAAGAAAGTGACAGAGGTTATTGAAAACGAAAAAATTTCGTTTGACAAATTAGTCGGTATTCTCGACACAGCAATTATAGGACTTGAACAGCGAAACTTTGTAACTGAACAAAAAATTATGTCTGTTTATAGAATTAAAGAGAATGTATTATCACATAAAAAATGAAGCAACTTAAACAACTTACACTGAAAGAAATGTTTAATAAAGTAAACAAATAAATATTATGCCTTTTTTTTTGTAAATTTTGATACCCTTTAGATTATAATTGTTCTTTATTTCATAAATTACGGTTTCATTTTTTAATTTTATAATTTCTGCATGCCATCTTACCAGATTTAAACTGATGATCTATAATCCGGAATCGCCGAAGTCGAGTCCGGATTAATGACTTTTGACTGTATTCAAGTTACACATAAGGAAAATCATGAAAACCATCATGTATCTAGCTCATTCACATGAGTCTGAAGCCAGGATGAAATACCAGTATTCAGCAATATTTAACCACTCGGCCAATGATGAGGCCCTCTCTGAAGAAGACATATATGAATTGATACTACTTGGGACAGGACAGATTATGTTGCAGAGCAAACACATTTAAAGCATCTTTCGACAATTCGGCATGATGTAGCATTTTAAATAAAAGGTGTTTGAGAAAGGAAACTCAGAGTTTCTTTGATTGGAAATAGGTCTATTTTATGACACAAATATTTGATTTATCAAATTTCTCAACCTCTGACATCCTGTTCTCTCCTAACAAGATAATTCCACAGTTAAAATGCTTTCAGACAATTCAGTTTTAACTAACAGTAACTAGTCTATGACAGATACCAAAAGAGGAATTCTCTTAATGTTCACAGGAAGGGTTCTTAAGTTGACTAAGGAATGATTTTTAAGATTTGAAACAGTAATTATTGCGAAGGATTTTTTTTTTAAATCACAGACGTATACTTATGTATGCTTAAGAATTTAGTAGTTGATCTGTAGCAATCCTTAAAATAAAAGATAATGAAACAATAACTTACAAGTTAGGAAACAATTCGCTTGGCATAAATAAATATTCTTTGAGTTGAGTGTGCAGCTTCCATTCACTCCATATAAAGAGTTTCACATCTACAAAATTTAAATTATTGATCACATTTATATATATTCTTATTAAAGACAATTTTATACATTTATACTATGTACATTTTTTATGAACATACAACAACAAAAATATTTCAAAGCAGCACCTAACTTATTTGGCTGAATATTATAAGACAATATTTTTTCCACCCTAAATAAGTAATACTGAAAATCACACCTGTCTTATATGTACAACTTAAATGACCATTTTACATGTCAGAATAACTTGTATTTGGGCAAACACAGGACCTATTTTCATCATTTGAAAAATTCTCATTCAAATTAAATTAAAGGAATACTTACTTGAAGTGGAAATAAATATAATACTTCTAATTTACCTTATTAAATAACATAGAAAAATAATTGAAATTTTTCAATTAATTTTAATTTATAAATTTAGTACTCTATTTTGAAGTTTTTTACATTAAGTGTTTTTCAGCATAAATTAAATGTGGAAATGAATGCTTAATTTGTTATTAAAATTGTTGTAAATGACTTGGATAATGCAAAATTATTTAAAAGTACGATTGATTAAAAATAATAAAACTAGCAATAATTTAAAGCACACTTTTCACTTTTTTCCACACAAACTATAAGTGATCATTTTTGCTTTTTTAAGCCCAGAGAACTAAAATTTACCCCTGAATAAATTTTTCCTCTTTCTTTTTAATATTTAGTAACATAAAATCAATGATTTAATAATGCTTTCACTTACAGATTTATAACTGTAAAATATTTAGCACACAACTGATTAGATAGCTGACTGATAGCAAAACAGTGCTTTTGTAAGACAATTTGTAGACTAAAAAGGCACAAACTAGAAAAACAATTACCATTAATTTATCTGTGTGTGTGGGGAAATCTGAACAAGTTCGGATTTTAATGATACCCAAATGGGCTCTTTTACAGTTTAATATAACCTATCAGTAGAGATTATCAAAAGAATTAGAAGGCCCAGGAGGAATAGCAAAACATTTTATAGGATATTTTATTAATATTCATTTAGACTAACATGGGAATGCTATATATCTTCTGCATATTTAAAATGTGAAAAAATATGAAATGTAATTCCAAAAAAATATTTAATGTTTTAATTAGATATATCATGAATTAAAAGCATTTTTATTTAAAAAGAAATTCCTAAGAACTACATTTATTGCTTTTATACAGTTTAGTTGCTAATTAATAACAAGCTAATTAATAAATAAAGTTGCTAATCAATAAATATGAAAGAATATCATTTAACAGTTTTCTGAATGGCAACAAACATGAATGAAAAGTGAAGCAACGCATTAAGGTGACATAATGCTTCAAAACTAATAACTCTTTTGGGCTTAAAAAAATATTTTTTACTAAATAATGCATAAAATTTGAGGCAAGTAAAAGTAATATGATGTTATGCAGGAGACAAGGATATAAGGAAGAGGATTATTCATTATATCCATCAAATTACTATATTTATGATTTTCTCTACATGAAAGACCTACACGTATCAGAAGTTTGTCTTTAAATTTGGCTCACATGAAAGGACTGAAATATGTATGCTCCCTCCAAGTAACAAGAGCCTTATAAAACTGTCTTATATTCATGTGCTTTACTGCAATTAAAATTATAAATTTTTTGTTGAATCAACAAAACAAATGATGAATGATATTTTTACTTTTTACATAAAAAATTCTCACTGCATTCTAGCACAGAGAATCAACCAAACATATCCTTCATTTTAATTAAAGAATAGTGAAATGCATTTCAGACAGTCAGTCTATTATGAAAGCAACCCATAAATTCCTTAACCTGACAATTATCTAAGAACATTTCATAGGACACTATTTTTATTATTTATTATTATTAATTATAATTGAATTGTTTCACATTTTGTATACATGAACATTTACTTTCAGTTTTATATACATGAACAAACATTTTAAATTTTAAATAAAATAAAACTGATGAAAGATTTAAAACAATAATAGAAAACACTAAGAATCTTAAGATAATATACCTAATTTTAAATTCAATGCAAATTTACAATGAGAGTAAGAAATTCAGTAAATTAATTCACACATTAAAAATAGTCATGCAAGTGTAGTAATATTTGTAAGAAGTTTAACCAATTTTTAGGGTAAAATAAACAACAACAACAACAACAAAATTCAATAAAAATATACCTTTTTGAAGAATGTTAATTTTTTTCATAATTTCACAATGCTCACTGAAAAAAATACAGAAGCAAAACAATAATTAGTTTTTGAAACATTAAATCTGTAAATAAATTTCCTGTAAAGACTTTATAGGACTGTTAAAATATATACATTGGATATTTACAAATATCTAACCACTCTAAAAATGGCACCAGCTATAGTTTGTTCAGTTGCTGGCTCAAATCCTCCACTTATGTTCTTTGTGTGTGTGTGCATATTTTAAATACACTTGAAAAAGAAATGACCTTATCTTTAAATAGTAGGAAATCTTCAGACCCTAATAATGCAGCACAAGCAGCTTTCAGAATTTTTGATTCAGTATTTGATATATTTCCAATTCAGAATTCTGCTTCAACATTTCCTGTAACTAAGGCTATGAGCATTTTTGTGTGGGCTTTACTCTATGAAGACAGCCATTCATCATAAATTTCAGGTGTTCCAATTATGCATTTGTGCAAATGGAGGACGCATAATGGATATTGTTCTCAAGCGACATACTGAAGTGCGAATACTATAAATACATTACAATGTATAAAAGCATTTAGTATAATTTATATCATGTTTCAGGGATTATTGTTATATGAAGGTAAGTTTTTTGCTTCAAATTTTACACTTAAATTGAAAATTGTTTAGTTTTGTTTAAAGTTGTTTAATTAAATTTGGCTTATTGTATACATATTTATTCTTATTTCTGGGCTCATTTGAGAATTCTGCCTGATAATTCATTAAACCTGTAATATTAAATGGAACATCTTTTCTTTTTAGCCCAAAGGGGTGTTAGACCCAAAGGGCTATTAGTTTTAAAACAGCATTTTGTGTCGTTTCACTTTCTGCGGTGGTTCACTTTTCAAAGTATTGCCACCAAATATTATCGCCATACATTCTATTTAAAGAAACTAATTAATAAAGAATCTGTGTGAATGCATGAATGTTTCTCACACTGTGAAAAAACACTGGTACCTAGAGCCATCAAATTTTGAATAATGCAGTCTTCCAATTGAGCATGGGTACTTAGAAGCCCTTATTTGGAATTAATTTTATTATTTACTTCAAATTTTGTAAAACTTTAACGAATTTTTGATTACCAAACACAATGATTTTAAAGCAAGCTAGGCAACACTGTACAGAAAAAAAATTATCTCCAGTATGTAAGACCGTGTATCGGAAAATCTAAAAATATGCTGTTTTTAAATATCTTGTGATATTTCTGTTGAATTCAATTTTATGTCATTTAAGTGCAAAGAACAGGATATTTAATAAATTAAAATAACACACAGAATGTTAAAATAATGCCCCTTTAGGCATAATATAAAATCTGAAAACTTTCAGAATTTTTTTAAAAGAAATTTGAAGCGTAACTAAAGATGAAACAGAGTAATTTTTAAAGGACTTAATTCAACCCATATTTCAATTGTGATCGTGCTCTGAAAAATAAAAAAATTATTTCCAAATGATAAAACTTAACAGGTATGTGCTGTAAATATAAAGGTAAAAATACGAAAAAATAGGCAACTTTTGAATACACATAATTCTAACTTACATTCATAAACACATTTTTTTTTTTTTTTAATTTTATGTTCAGCAGCATACTTTATACGAAAACTCAAGATAACCCCTGTTCAAGCATCATATGGCATGTGGTCAGGTAAATATCCATTTATGTGACATGGATCTTTAATTGATCTTCTACATGGGCTGCCAAATTACAGGTTCTCAGATGTTTCACTTGATTAGAACCTTTAATTTATCTTTCAAATAACAATTATGCATTCTTTAACAAACTCATATTGTTTTTATGATTTAATATGCAACTTAAAAATTTTTAAAAAAATTAAAAGCTTTCAGGTTTTATATTACATCCAAAGGGATGTTTTTTTCATTTACACATACATACACATTTTGAGAGTATTTAGGCTAAAAATATATAAAAGCTGCCTATCTTTAGAATTTCCAACAGACAGTCTCCTGGGGTGGAGATAAAAATTTATTTGTATGAATAATGTTCAATAAAAATGACAGCAGTAAATAGTAAAATTCAGATATAATTTTGAACGCCATTGCCAAATAATACCTACTGACAATCAAAAAAACTTGTTTCATTAATTCTGCCGTAGAAAATATATTTCAATACCTAAAGGCGGCAACAGTCTGTTGGCAGTGCATTGATATGTAGATAAGTATCTTCTCATTTTTATAACAAAATTTCATTAGTTAAAAAATTAATTAATTTTTATGAAATTTAAAAGTTCATATTAATTTTACAATAATTTCACAAATACAAATATTTATGTAATCATTTATTTTACACTGCTGGCCACCGTAACTGCAACACCCTGAAGGAAGCATGCAAATAACATGAAATTTACAACATGCATTAGCGGAGGTGAGATATGAAAATGATAAGAATTTAAGCGCAGACGCACATCACGCGCGCCTGTGGCGCCATTTCAAAGCTCTATTTAAGGCTTGGAGTTTTTGACGTTTTTAAGTTCGGCAATTGTTTTTCTTGTTTTTTTTTTTAAATAACGATCAATTATGCCTCATAGTAAACAGCAATCATTGTTTGATCAAGTATCCGAGTTTGAAAGAGGAAGGATAGTGGCCTACTGAGAGTGTGGATTATCTTTCAGGAAAATTGGTAGTTGTGTTAGATGAAATCAAACAACTGTAATGCAGATATGTGACCGATGGATGCAGGAGGTGATGCACCGACGTGTTAGATCACATCCACCTCAGTGCACCACTTCACCTGATGACAGGAATATTGTGCGCATGGCAGTGACGGATCATTCAGTCACATCACGAACCACAGCACAGCACAGCACATTCAGTCTGTAACGCATCATCCAATGTCTGCGCGTACTATTCGACGTCATTTACAGCAGACTGGTCTGCCCGCAAGACATCCATTGCTTCATCTAACCTTGATGCAGAACCACAGATGTCTCCGCCGTCAATGATGTGAAGAAAGAAGGATGTGGACAGCAGAATGGAATGAAATTGTCTCTATTGATAAGTCATGCTTCTGTCTGCAACACCACAATGGTCGGATTCGAGTCTGGAGACACCGTGGAGATGCTGAAGAGCTGCGTTATGCACCGCCACTCTGGTCCTGCACCGGATATTATGGTGCAGGACCGGATATTATGATATATTGGATATCACTCTCACACTCCTCTAATATGCATTGCCGGTACTTTAAACAGTGAGCGCTACATCTCGGAGGTGTTGGAGCCAGTTGTCCTTCCTTACCTTCAGGGCTTGCCCACAGCCTTATTTCAACAGAATAATGCGCGACCACATGTGGCACGCATTGTCCAAGGGTTCTTTGTCAATTGCCAGATTAAATTGCTTCATTGGCCATATCTTTTGCCTATAGAAAACATGCGGTCCATGGTTGCTGAACGATTGACCCAGATTACATCCCAAGCACCCACACCAGATCAGCTTTGGCAACGTGTGGAAGCTGCTTGGTTGCTGTACCCCAAGAACACATCCAAAGTCTCTGAATCAATGCCGAGGCATGTGACAGCAGTGATCTCCAACAATGGCGGCTACTCTGCTACTGATTCTGGAAGGAACCATACTTCACAGAAGTCTATAAATTTAATCATTTGATACTTGATCAACATGTTATCTACTAAATAAATTTTGTTGTGATATCTCTTGTCTTTCTTGGTTTTGCAATTTGAGTGGCCAGCAGTGTATAATATAATAAGCTTTTCTGCATTTTCATTATATTTTCATAAATATCAGTTTTATACAATTATTTGTTTTATAAAGTAACAAGCATATCTGAACTTTTCATTAATCTTCATAAATATTAGTTGTTCCAAATTAAAAAGTTCAATATACTACCTAGAAGAATTACAAAATAATTTGTATTAGTTCTTTAAGTGGTGTATGGTGTATTGAGAATACGGCAAAGCACACTAGGGCTATCTGCCTAAGGGGAGGGATGCCTTCGTGGAGGACTTTCTAAAGGGAACTGGCTCATATACACGTTACACATGGGGAAACCACGAAAACGTCCATGCAGCCAGCCTGCTCGCGGGATTCGAACCTTGGACCGAACTACCAGTGTTCAGCGATTTTACCGCTCGGCCGCTGGTGGGCAATATTAGTTCTTTAAAAACAAAATTTAATATTTTAACAGCCAAAAATAAATAAATAAATAAATAAAATACATAGCATTTAAAATATTTATATAAAGATTAACAATCATGACACAATGAATAAAATGTTTACATTATATTCAAATTTTTATATCTTGAGGCTTTTTATTGTATTTACACATTGATTACAAAACTGAAGTAATTACCTGTTTTTTCAGGTAATGGCAAAATATTTACAATTAAACATTGTTTGGTTTTGAATGGCTATTTTATTTTCTTTAAAATATAATATACAAAAAGCTGTAATTAAAAATTTGAAACTGGAATGTAGAGAGCTAATTTAAGATTACTTTATTCAAATATGCAAAATTAAACAAGTTAAAACAAAGTAATAATAAAATAAATATGAAAACTTACATCTCAAATTCTCCATCTAAAACAAAAAGCATCTTTAATGCGACTATGATAAAAGTTAGTGCTTTAACTTCATATAATGGAATTGGAATATAAGATGATTTTGTGCGCTTTTTTAATTCATACCACTCACTTTCTTGTTTTTCAGTTTTATGAACTAAAACTTTGACAACTGAGACCAGATCATCTGAAAGTTACAATAATTATGCACACATTAGTCATTAATTCATGTTTAATAAATTTTATGTTCCCACCTTAGTTATATGAGTTAAAAACAACTGACTGTTCTTATCCAAGACATTATTTTTCTAAACTTACCTGGCAAATTAAGATCCTTGATGAAACGAGAAATTACAGGTAACAATGGTCGATGCTTAAATCTTGGAAGATCGAGAAATTCAATCAATTTAGCACACCACAGTGAAATTTTATGCATATCTGGTACAGTATTCTAAGGAGGAAAAAAATTAATGCATGTGGCAGTAAGCACAATTAAATCATATAAAAAAATTAACATTTTTTAAAAGCACTAAAATCTATATTTCATAGATTGATATTGTTTTTAACCCTCTAAGCGTTACGGGTTTAGCCCTGAAATTTCAAATTTCCTCAAAATGTCATGAATAAGTGATATTTTCTTGATTTTAATTAAAAATGACTCTTTCATTTTGTACCTTGATTCCTTTTCTTCCAATATACATCCAAACTGAAATCAGATACATTAAAAGCTAGCAGAAATTTTCATGTATAATGAATGTGGAAGGCAACGTACTGTATGGAATTTTTCGGCCATAACGCTGAGAGGGTTAACATGTTTTTAAGCAGAAGCAGGAAAACACAACAATGTAAGTACACAGAGTACATTCTTAATGCAGTAAAATTAAATAACTGAATGCTTCCAGTTTTAGTGTAATTCATTCCATTTATTTATAATTAGGCATACAGTCAGCTCGTGATTAACTGAGCCCTCTCTAAAAACAGTTAAGGCTGCTTATTGCAGAGCGATGAAATATTACTATCACAAACAATAAAACAAAACAAGTCTATAGAAAATTCAAAAAAGGAAAAGAAAAGTGTATAGGATAACAGCAGTGATAGCAGATGAATACATGAACAGCACAGAATAAAAACAAAAAGTTCTGATTTCTTATTGCAGTTTGAACTTGATCACACAGTTCAAGTTCTCATGTAAATATTTTTCTTTAATAGTATCTTTCAGTTAGTTTTTTTTATGCATAATAATATATAGTCTTTCATTATTTGCAGTGTGTTCCTCCAGTTTAAATACTGTTTAATGTACATAACCAAATGAACTCATTCTTCAAATTAAACTGCTTGAAAATACAGGTAAATTAAAATAATATTTTTATGTTAATTATAATATGGCTTATTACACTTCTTGTGCACTTTTATATGCTTCCAGAGTAATCATGATTTTATGCTGACCAGGTAGATTGTACCCGTTATTGTCATGGCTGATTGGGAGTTGAAAAACTTCATAATTTATAAATGTTTTCTAATAGTAGAACCTAAAATTATGAACATTTCACATCCTAAACAAGTTATTTAAATCAGTGGTCTCAAACTGCATGCGGGTGAAATGCATGATCTGAAAACTGCTGTCAGAAGAGATTTTTATTTATTTATTTATTTTCTAACAAAATGGAAAAAAAAAATATTAACAAAATTTAAAATTATTAACATAAATTTTAGATTTCACTTGCTAAATATTTATTAAAACATGCATAAACAATAATAACAATATTGCAAATGGGGGAAACAAATTTATATTTATTTTCTATGTGAAGTCTAATGATTGGTACCTGCAAGATTTTTTCCCAGTTAAACTTTGTGATTCAAATATTCTAATTACTAAATATTAAATTCTTAGACTGCTATTTTTTCAAATAATACAAACAAGTTTAATTAATAAACTTAACTAAAACTTTAACTTAAACTATAACTAAATTATGAAAACTTCATAAGTTTTCAGAGGTAATTTAATAAGTAGGACGAAACTTGGACATGTCCCCATAGTTTCTTTCTTTTATTGATTAAATTTTTGTTTGATAAATAAATAACAATACACATGCATATACATAAATAATTACAAACTTATTACAAACACTTGATGGTGTTTCGATTCTGATAAAATTTGTAGCCTTGGACAGAAATTACTAGAAATTATTTTCTATCTTATCTAAGGATTATAGGTGCTTTTTGGTCAATTGGGTTCTTTCATTATTAATTTTCAACTGTGAACAGAAAACTATTCTAAACCACAAAGAAAGGCATTCACATATAAAAGTATTCCCAAGTAAAGTGATTACTTAGTGAAAAAATTCCCTAACTGTCAAGTAAAGCTTCTTTCTGGAAACCCATATATTTTCTGAAAGCTTAGATCACAATTAGAAAAACTGTGAAGTCTTATTAGCAGAGAGATAAGCGTTTAGGAGCTATAGAACCCACAAAGTATCATTGAAGTATGTACAGATGGACATATTTCCATAATGATGTCTCTATTTCTTGTATGTTCATGCATTGTCTGCTTTCGAAGTACCTGATGGTAAAGTCCTACAAAAGGAACTGGTACTTGAAGGATTTACGGGAAAGCTCCAGCTTCTGGATATTCATTTTTGCAGACACTACAGATCTTTTGTTTGTTACATAATGAACACAATCATGATAGAAACACAGGGGCACATTTGGCATTGCAATAGTTTTCTGGCCCTGCAGTCCTTTTCATTATATGAATTCAGCACTGCTCATTTTAAGAACTTGATTAAGCATGTTTTTTATATGAACAGATACTTGGACGATGAACCTGAAATGTGGATTGTGCCAATGGATTACTGCTCAGTTTCACTAACAAATGATGAGTGTGCAAAATGTGAGGCTATCCCTTTTGTAAAATGTGCCCATTGTGAACTGTTTTTCTGCCTGTCTTACTGTTTATTTGATGAATTGCACATTGATTGTCTCTTGTAATAGATTTTGTTTTAAGTCAATAAAAAGTCACATTTTCAACATCCCAGTGTATATTGTCTTTCCAATGAGTGGCTTCTTCCTTTATATTGAGATCCCCACCTTCTTACTATATTATTAGTTCATATAAATGTAAGAAAAAGAATATGTAAAAGATTAAATTAGCAGCGTAAATTAATTTTCCTTCTCTATTTTAAAAATAGTAACCTCTTTCTGCACTGCGTCATTTCAAGACTATTCTATGTCATATGATTCTTACGTAATTATGATGATGTAAATGGAAGCAAAACTCAACCAGCCAATAGTAATTTTACAGCAATATTAACTGTCCAATCAGAATGCTTTGAGAATGAAAACTAACTCAGTTTGACTTCAGATTTCATCCTGAATATTACGCACTTGCTTTCCACGCTTTGGCCTAGCTACACTGCTGTCTGTCTGCTACTTGTGTGTAACCACAACATGTTGCTAAAAATAAAACTGAAGATTTAATCTGCTTTCGCCTCTAAGTTCCTTATCATTATGGATCAACACTACTAAGCCATCAAAATTCCTCCTCCTGCTCTTCAATTACTTCTAACTTTGTTTTTATTACATAAATATATGAAACAAGCATTTTAGCGACTTTTGAAATCATGTTTCCAACACTTTTCTGATACTTTGTGGGCCCTACAGCTCCTAAACATGTGTCCTCTGCCCCTAACACTTCACAGTGTTTCTACTTATGACATAAGCTTTCAGAAAATATAAGGGTTTCCAGGAAACCCATATCAAAGGAGAGAAGGTTTACTCATGAGTGTATTTATTTTATGACACGTACGAATAATGTTTAATCAAATCTGTATTATTAAATCTTTGAGCAAGATTTATAACACACTATACATTAATTAGGTGCATTTATAGATTTTCTGCAGCATTATTCATTCTCGTTTTTAATAGAAATGAAAATAAGATAAACTCCTACTTCAAATTAACTGCAATTTTGAAATCTTTGCAGCAATGTATTTATAACAAATAAATAATTGAAATGCCTTTGTGGTCCACATAAAATTGCTTTGGGGGCCACCGGTTTGAGACCACTTACCTAAATAAAAAATGCCCAAGATGGCAAACAGAGTTATGAATACTTAAGCTAGCAACAAATGATTTTCAAAGCAGTTTTGAGACAACAGAAATAGCATTCAAAAATTTCCTGATACACCATTTTAATATTTTCCATTCTTAACTCTCATTATTACAGCCTGGAAGCAAATGATTTAAAAGAGCATGAATTCAGGCTTGAGAAAATTATAGCCAGATTATATTGAAGGCAGAGACTATGAGGGTTTTGGCACTTTTTTTCCCTCCTGTAATTTAAGGTATTATGTCTCTAAGCCTGAGATTGGAAGTTGCTCGTGAAGTAGTTACTACGCGGAGTTAGAACTAGAGTAGTTACAAGAATAAGTGGAGTAGTTACTACTATGAATTATGAACATCTGGGAGTTCACTATGAATGTCACTATGAACTACTTCACATCCATATGAACATGAATTACTATGAATATTTATAGCAGTTACTAGAGGATCATAAAAAACGAATTTAATAGGAAAGATCTGTGATAACTTCTGAAAGAGCAACAAAAGATAATTCTGAAGGAAATTCTTTCAGAGGAAGGAAGGAAAGATGATTCTAGTTCTGCAAATTATGGGCAAAATCAGGTAAGTTTTCATGCAACAATATCCCCTTAATAAAACAGTGGTAGGCTACAACACAAGCATTTTCAGTGATAATAACCATTGCACATTTTATTAGCATTTAAGATGTAAAAAGCAACAAATTATATGAGACAAATTTTTAAGGAAACTGAGGCCAGTGAATCTCAGCTTCAGTCATGTGACACTAAGAAAATAAAGAAAAATGAAAAATGGCCCAGGAAGACAATTATCTGATATTTCTATTGGAAGGAAACTTGCCACTTGTTAATCTGCTCATGTTCTGCTACTGCACTTTCTTTCATTTACAATAAAAGCATTGTTTTGTCATAGATATAAAAAGAATTATTCCATTGACCATGACTGTAAATATCTCCATCTTCTCGTCAAAACTATTACATTCGACATGACATGGCATGAAAAATGTAATTTGAAATGATAGTGAATGAATGTCATAATTATGTTATGAATATTTGAATATAAAAAATAGAGTATACTGTAAGAAATAGAGCATATTGTACTGGTTCAGAATCAAAGTGTATTTTTTAATCTGAATACTTGTTTCTCTTATCCTTTTGTACAAGAAAAGGTGAAAGCTACTATTTTTAAGAATTAGAGAAATATATTTATAGAATTCTTATTATTCTTCTGTTATTTATAAATTATTATTATGAATGTTTTATTGAAATTTTGAAAGGCCAGCTTACTTAAGGGTGTTTATTATAAGGTCTTTTCAAGGAAGTTCTCAAACACCCTTTAACTACTGACACAACAACATATCAGTTTAGGAGGATATGCACAATTTTTATATGAAAGGTTATTTTTAGAGAATTATGGAGCCTTTAGTTTGCATAAAATAAAGAATCAAAGTGAAATATAACTAAGAATGAAATCATAATTTCAGTAACATATTTATGATGTTAACAGCAAATTATAAAATGAAAATTATAATGTAGCTTATTTTTGAGATTTATTACTGTTTTTGTCAACAAATAAAAGAATTTTTCTACAGGCTTCAGCAACTGTTATACATCAATATTTAAATCATTACATATATAGAGTGATTAGTAAAAAAATTCTAGATATTTTAGATCTCGCTATGAAAACTGATTGTAGCACTAGCATGTATTTGTTTTTAATTGCAAAATTCATTTAAATTTAATCACTGTTAAATTTCTTCTATAAAAAATCAATAGGAAAAACAATTAATATTATGATGCTTTTCATGAAAATTAAGTGATCCTTACGGGTTAATGACTGAAACTGATGTCATACTTTCATACACTTAATATTTCATATGCTTAATTATTTGTAATTATTCTTTTGAATTAATCATAATAGTTCTTTCTGCTAGGCCCAAAAGCAAAAAATGAGTCCATTCAAATTTTCAGTAACAATGAAAATACATACTTTTCTAAAATAAGCTTTGTCTACATTTTGCAGTTTCATTGAAGGAGGTAGACAGGTAAATGCCTTTCTGAAAGGTATTCTATCTTCTTTAACAAATCTATGAGGCAAACAGAAAATGTTTTAAAACATGATAAAATACATTATGTATAAATGTCACACAAAATCATAACTGTGAAACACTTTTTTTTAATTGGAAAGAAGCAATAAATTGTTACCTTAGCAAATCTGACAGTAGTAACTGATCTCCTGTATAAAGAAGGCCTAAATAACAAAAACACAGTGTCTTTGAAAGTGTCATATGATGAACACAATTTTCTCGAACATGGAGAGCTGCCGATTTCAGTGAGCCAAATCTCCTCTAAATATCAAAATTCTGTGCATTAAAAATCAATGAACTATAATTTATGATAAATTATCAGTTCCCAGGAATTGACTTATAATATACTAAACACATCATGAAAATTATAACAGTATATTTCACAAAGCGCTTTCTAAATGAACTTTCTAAAGCATTATTTTCTCAGCATTTATATATGTATAAAAATTATGCCAAATTCATAATTAATCTTTTGATATTCATATTGAACATTTTGAATGTATTCCCTTAAAAATTACAAAATAAGGAAATCTAACTACTATTAAATTTCTTCACATTTATATGGAGTTCCAATGAACCTTCATAATAAAAAAATACAATTTTTTTGCTGATGAAGACATTATTTATGCACTTTTAACATCTATTTCCCCCCCTCTCAAATTCCTTCAGAATGATATTTTGCTTAAATAAATATTTGTTCTATTTTCAAAATTAGTTGTATATTAACTTTTACTGTATTATGACAGTTGTCTCAAAACACACATTGTTTAATTAATAAAATATCTTTTACCTACAGCTCAAACTAAACAAAAAAAAAAAAAAAAAAAAAAAAAAAAAAAAAAAAAAAAAAAAAAAAAAAAAAAAAAAAAAACAAAAAAAAAAAAAAAAAAAAAAAAAAAAAAAAAAAAAAAAAAAAAAAAAAAAAAAAAAAAAAAAAAAAAAAAAAAAAAAAAAAAAGCTTAAGAAGGATAATACAATATCATTCAGATTTATAAATAGCTGTGATTAGATATTTATGTCATTTTGAAAGAATAAAACGATTTTTAAAAGAAATTAAAGTGTTTCAGTAATTTAAAAATTGTAGTGCATTTTATAATTAATAGGATTATTAAAGGATAAATACATATAAATAATTTTTATTCTTGCAATATATTTAGGAAAATAAGCTGCTAAGAGACATATATTTTAATCTGTGTGATGTAATGAACATTCTTTTTTCAAATAGAAAACCAAGGTTTTTTCTTCTGATTATAGGCATTTTTTAACTAACATTCAGATTACACTTGTTAACTGATTTTGATAGGATTGAATTAAAAAAAAGAAACAAGACATGAAAAATAACATACTAATTTGAAAAACACATTTTTTCTATATGTAACAAGTGAGATGGGACCCTTTATGGTGAAGATGTAATTCAACATATGATTCAATATAAAAATTATTTAAAATATTCTGTCAATTAAACAAGATTTTTAATTAACAAAGTTTAGTTTTCCTATACAACTGATGTGAGAACCAGTATAAGGAGATAAAAGCAATTCTTAAATTCTATTATATTAAAATCTGTGTGCCTCTGTTTGGTGTTTGTTTGTAACATTATCTTCTTGGGAATGGCTGGGTCCAGGGCTTAGCGGAGCACAACGAAGGATTCGTCGCGTCCGTGGCTCACCGTATTGACCATTGGCGTGTTTGTGCGACTTTAATTAGCCAAGATATTAATTTAAAACTAATTTTGCCCCTACTTTCCCTATATTTGTACTTTCTTTCTCAGGTTTTCCTTATGTTAGGGATTTGGCTGTGTGCCAAATTCTTTTCTCTCGAATATCTTGGGAACGGCGCGGAGTTGGAATTTGAAACGCATGTCCCCGGATTCTAAAAAATTCTATGAATCCATCGATATCTGTCTCATCTTCGCACGACAATAATCGGCGGAGATATTAATTAAAAACTGCGAAAGCATCTATTTCCGTGCTCATTCTTCCGAGAGGCAACAGTCTCGGTAATTGCTGATAATAAAAATACTATTTCCAAAGCAACCGGGGGTGAACAGCTGACTTCTACTCCAGCCTTGTGTTGGCGAAAGGTCACATGTCAATTTCTTTTTTTTTTTTTTTCAAATATCTATGGAACAGCGCTGAGTTGGAATTCGAGACAGGTATTCCCGGATTCCAAAAAATTCTCGGAATCTATTGATACCATTCTCATCTTCGTACGACTTTAATCAGCTGAGATATTAATTAGAAACTGTGAAAATGCCAATTTTTGCTCTCATTTTTTCGATTGCAACAGTTTCTTGAATAAAGCATGCGATTGCATGTTACCACACCGTATTTTGGAAATATTTCGTTAATGTAGGCATTTTAAATAAACAGCTGCTTTTTGCAATTTTTTTAATTTCAGGTTAGGATAATTGCCACGTAATTCTTACGTCCACTTAATTTACATACCCTTTTTGAATTTAAATGATATTGTAAATTAGTTCGCAGCAATAATAATAATTTTTATTTTCTTTTTAGAATTAAAATTTAATTGAATATTAGCTTTATACAAAGAAAGAATATTTGTGAAACTCAAATTTCATTCCTTGCAGCAATGGCGCAAGAGAATTTACTTAAACTTAACTATATTCTTGTGAAACAATTTTGTTGTAATTTTAAGCGGATTCTGTTGAAGTTTTAAAAAAGGAATTTTAATAACGAATCTACTGTTGCAATAATAAACCCGAAAATGTTCGTGATTATATTTCATACAACGGCCCATTAGCGGCTGAGCGGTAAAGTCGCTGAACACTGGTATATCAGTCCAACTGCCCGAATCCCGGCAAGCGGGCTGACTGCATGGGTGATTTTGTCATTTTCCACATTTCTACCGTTTATGATGTATCCTGTGGATGCATACGTGAATAAAGCGGGCACAGAACACTGGTAGTTCGGTCCAAATTTCGAATCCAGGCGTACGGGCTGGCTCCATGGGTGTTTTCGTGATTTTCCGCATGTGTATTGTGTAAGCAGTAATTTCAGGATGCATGGTCACGTGCCAATTTCTTTTTTTTCCCAAATATCTATGGAACAGCGCTGAGTTGGAATTCGAGACAGGTATCCCCGGATTCCAAAAATTTCTCGGAATTCATTGATACCATTCTCATCTTCGTACGACTTTAATCAGCTGAGATATTAATTAAAAACTGAAAACGCTAATTTTCGCACTCATTTTTCCGATTGCAACAGTTTCTTGAATCGCCGGAGATAAAAATCAAGGTTATATTCTGAAGTTAAATAAAGCACGCAATTGCATGTTACCTCACTGTATTTTGAAAATATGTTGTTAATGTAGGTATTTTAAATAAACAGCTGCTTTTTGCATTTTTTTTTTTATTTCAGGTTAGGATATGTTATTGCCACATTAATTCTTTTATTGATACTGAGTAAAAGTTGTTATATTACATTAAATTTAGATGTTCTTGAAGTTGTACAACTTTAATTAGCTGAGATATTAATTAAATAAACCTGAAAGTGCCATTTTTTAAATATGCTATTATTTTTTGGAATAATAAATTAATTTTTTCCAATAATATATTTTTTCATGGTTTTAGATACGTCCACTTAATTTACATATCCTTTTTGAATTTAAATGATATTGTAAATTAGTTGGCAGCAATAATAATAATTATTACTTTTTTACAAATAAAATTTCTTAAATAAAATTTAATTGAATATTAGCTTTATACAAATAAAGAATATTTGTTAAACTAAAATGTCACTCCTTCCAGCAATGACACAAGAGAATTATTTAAATTTAATTTAACTATATTCTTGTGAAACAATTTTGTTTAATTTTGTGCGGATTCTGTTGTAGTTTAAAAAAAGGAATTTAATAACGAATCTACTGTTGGAATAATAAACCCGAAACTGTTCGAGATTATTTGGTACAATGGCCCATTATCGGCTGAGCGGTAAAGTCGCTGAACACTGGTAGTTTGGTCCAACTTTCGAATCCCGGCAAACGTTCTCATGGGTGTTTTCATGATTTTCCGCATGTGTAACGTGTATGCAGTATCTTTTGGGCGAATTTTATTTGAAACGAATCAAAATTTTGAAATGTAAAAGGAAAATTCAAATAAGTTTAATGAAAAAAAGAGATACTAATAAATATATATAACATATTCAATTAACATGGAGGAGCTAAAATGTTCAGTGCTTATTTTTTAAAAATTACTCATGCTATTTTTACAAAACTTGGCACTTTGGCATAATTTGAGTCATAAAATTGAAATATGTAAAAAGAAAAAATTTCTAAGATATTTCAGAAAAAGCCCAATTTTGTGTTGAAAACCTATGCTATACATAAATCTAATATATATCCTAAGTCCTAAACAATGCTATACATAAATCTAATATATATCCTAAGTCGCACTTTCGGGACATGGAAAACACAAGTTAAATTTCGACAACTGGTCCAGTAGAACGGGAGATATAGAACTATGCCCCCCTTTTTTTTGTATGTGTGCAATGTGTACATCAGCATAGCATGTTGCTAATATATTTGTCTTTTCTGGTGTTCCCAATGGTCCTTATTTCCAATGGTTCTAAAAATAGTATCCCCATGGTTGCAAGTTACAGAAATAGCACACAGTTTTAAACTGTTCAAATTTACTGTGCATATATTATTATTTATTAAATGAAAACTATTGCTGGTTTGAAAAGTGTACCATAAGACTTTTGAGCAGAAATTAGATTTCAAAAATGAAACTTATTTACTAGATGCAAGCTGAATTTTAGGGGCCAAAGAGCCATACCTGTAAAAGCAGTTAAAAATAAAAATTGAGAATAAAGTAAATATTTGCCAAGAATCATATTTTTCAAATCAATGATTAACATGTATTATTATCAGAAATAGCAAAACATAAAAACAAACTCACATGGAACTTTCGTGCAGGAGAAGAATAAATGTGTCTTGCTTTCTGACGATTTGATGAGGAATTATAACTAGATGCATCAGATACATCTGTGTTGCATGTCACCTCTGAAGACAAACTGGCAACATCATCAGAACTTTCAGGCTAAAAATCATGTGTCAGTTTAAAAAAATATACACACAAATTAATCAAAAAATTAAAATGTATATATTTAAATAAGCTTAAAGTCAAAATCTTAAAACTTTACAGGAAGGGTAATTATCACAGCATTGATATAATTTTCTTTCCAAATGAAGCACACTATTCAAAAAAAAATTTAAGAAATTTCATACATATGTTACAGTCAAGAATAAAAGAGTCTTTACAAATTATATTATTCATTATAATATAAAATAACCCCAATATGTATACAATATAATATATTATGACAAAAAAAAAAAAGGATTTTATCATAAAAATTACACTTTAAAATTTTAATACACAGATCTTAAAAAGGAAGTTAAGTAAATTGATATTTTCTGGTCAATGAAATACCACTTGGCACAAAATGAAAATGATGTCGCAAAATCTAATTAAAGATAAGAATAGCAACAGTCTCTCTCTCTATATATATACACATACAACGTTGAAAAAAAATGTTTATTTTATTAAACAAAAATAAGTTTTTTCAAAAACAGTAATGGTTCCATTCAACAACCGAACCATTGGTAGATTTTCTGGCGCCTGAAAGTTTATGATGCATGACACCTACTATGAATTCAAAGCATTTTATTCCAAAATACAATAAAATTGAAAAAATAATATTTTGCTAATAATTTACTCATGTTATATAATAAAAATATGAACCAGAACAAAGCTATAAAATCAATTGGGATAGTACTGAATACTAGTCATGCTGTGATAAATACATGCTTGAAATTTACAACACAAATTTAAATATAAAGTTAGGTAATATCAATATACAGTAAAAAGTCCGTAATCCGGACATCCATTATCCGGACCTCAAAGCCACAAACTTATGCATGCGGGTTTGATGCGCGCATCCGCTACGCATGTGTGTAAAGCCAGCGTTTACACATGCGCGCTTCCGATAGTGAAGAAAGTGACAGAGAGGTTATTGAAAATGAAAAAAATTCGATTGACAAGTTACTCAGTATTCTCGACACAGCAATTACAGGATTTGAACAGTGGAACTTTGTAACTGAACAAGAAATTATGCCTGTTTATAGAAGAGAGAATTAAAGAGAAAGTATTAGCATAAAAAACGAAGCAACTTAAACAAGTTACATTGAAAGAAATGTTTAATAAAGTAAACAAATAAATATTAACCTTTTTTTTTTTGTGTAAATTTTGATACCTTTTAAATCATAATTGCTCTTTATTTCATAAATTACGGTTTCATATTTTTAATTGCATAATTTCTGCATGCCATCTTATTAGATTTAAATTGATGATCTATAATCTGGAAAAACTCCTAATCCGGAATTGCCGAAATCCCAACGAGTCCGGATTACGGACTTTGTACTGTATGAAATATGTTAAAATACATTCAACTACTTCAAAACTTGCATAACAAAAACCAGTTTCTCTTAATTACTGGTTCAAACTAGTGCCTTTTATGATTAAAAATCCAGAGAAATTATTAAAATAATTCACACAAAAACTGTCAAACTATAGGCATTTTATTAAAATGCAATACGCTGACCAAAACGGCATAATGATTTTTGCTGCTTGGTGCAAGCTTTGCAAATTCTAAATTCTGTTTTTTCAAATTATACATTCTGTTACCCAATTTCTCTCTAAATTCTAAAAGTTTTGTCCCCTAAATTCTGCTGCCTGATGTGAATGCAATGGTTATGTTGCTCATTCACCAGCCCTTATGCTGACAGAGCACCATTACAATCAGAACACAGAACTTCATTCTCGGCTTTTAAAATGCTAAACTCTCTAAAATGTGTAACCCAGTCACTCCTTCTAATGTGAGTTAAAAGTTTAAAATGATTCTAATATCAGTTAAGGCAATGCTATAAAAATATGACAGTTATAAAGCCTACAGAACTGATAGGTGTCTGGATTTCACCCTTTTACTGAAACAGTGATTAAGAGACAACTGTTCATGTCTCAACACTCAAGTAAAGGTTCAAAACAGTAGACCTACAGACTCCTTACAGAAGATGTACTGAAGGCTCCAGAAAAAGCCTCACAGCCTGATGGTGAAACACAGCTAGTTTTAGTAAAACTGAAGACCATGCCAATCCATAAACAACTAAGCCATAGTCCATTTTAGAACAGATGAGTGCTCTGCAGAAGCAAAGCAATGAACCATTATCCGTAGGAGGTGTTTAGCAGGATTATAAATACAGTAAACTCTCGCTACAACGATACCCGATACAACAATAACTCCCTCTACTACAAGAATGTTTTGTGGTCCCGGTGATTTTGCATATAAACTAATGTTAATCTCCCCTCAATACTGCTATATTCTCTAGAACAATAAACCTCTGTAAAACGATTTTTTCAATCTAAATTTCAGTATTATTTTCTCCCTTTATAATAATATTTTGATTTTTAAATGCTTTTTTTTCCATTTTCTTTGTTATTTTTTCCGTCCATTAAGACTCATTGTGGATATTCAACTTATCCCTGAATAAATAGCTATTGTTCAGATTTCAAAACAGATGAAGACCACCCTTTTGGGAATTGGAGTGGGTGAGGGGGGTGAAGTGTAAATGTATGCCTAGTCTCATTTCCCAGTAAGCTTTGGAATTCTGATAAGGTTTAAGGACATCTAGACCTGTCTGGTCACCTTGTCACAGAACAAGTGCCCTTTGTTAGAGGAACAGGGGGCAGATGGGGCAGGGGGTGATGGAGGCGGGTTGTTGTTGTTAAGTGACGTACTGAAAAGTGAGTTCAAAGGTTGTTTTATAGTCTTTAACGATTTTGAGTTTACGCGAAACATTTGGTTTAAACTTTTCTTTCTTTCACGCGATATTGTTCCCTAAGATGGCAGGGCGAAAGCAACTATCTTTTCGAGATAAACTGAACGTTATCAATGATATTGATGAGGGAATGAAGCAGATTGATGCGGCTAAGAAACATGGATTATCGCAATCTACAGTTGCAACGTTCCTAAAGAAGAGAAAGCAAATCGAGGATACTGTAACTTCAAATGAAATTAACCCAGAGCGAAAATGACTGAAAGTTGCGACAAATGAAAACATTGATGCTGCTGTTTTAAAATGGTTTCAAGAGATGAGATCAACAAATGTCTCAATAAATGGACCTTTATTATGTGCAAAAGCAAGGAAATTTGCAGCAATGCTAGGGAACGAAACTTTCAAAGCTAGCAATGGTTGGTTAATGTGTTTTCGAGATCGTCATGGAATAACTTTCCAAGAAGTTCACGGAGAGAAAAAGTCAGCCCCGATAAACGACGCAAATGAATGGCGGCAAAACAAGATGAAAGAAATCTTAGAAAAGTATGCTCCAGAAGACATTTATAATGCAGATGAAGCTGGGCTGTTTTTCCAACTCCTACCCGATCGAACATTGGCATTCAAGGGTGAAAAGTGTTATAGAGGGAAGAAATCAAAGCAGAGACTGACTGTTTTTCTGTGTACAAATAGCACAGGAATGCAGAATACAACCTCTCGTCATTGGTAAATCATTGAAGCCAAGGATCGGACAAATCTCGGACCGAACATCAAAATTAATTATCTCTGCAATATATCGCAAACATTATTGAGCAATAAGTGCGCTGTAATTCTTCCCTACATGATATTATGCAATCGAATTCAACAGCTGCCGGTATAGGGAGAATAAAGAACTAAATAAAGGAAACGAAAGAGACTTACCAATCTGGGGTGTTTTTCATTCTAATTTTCAACAGACTGCATTAAATTTCCAGAATAGAATCATTCTTCTCTTGGGTTGGTAGACCGCAGAACTTTTAGTCCTATTCAATCCAGATTGGAAAATGACAAACAAACAAACAAACAAAAAAAAAAAAAAAAAACAAAAAAAAAAAATTAAAAAAAAAAAAAAAAAAAAAAAAAAAAAAAAAAAAAAAAAAAAAAAAAAAAAAAAACAAAAAAAAAAAAAAAAAAAAAAAAAATTGCTTGTTTTGCAGTGAACTGTAACAGTTTTAATATTCAAGATTTTGCAGAGAAAGGGGAGAATTTTTCAACCTTCCTACTGTATAATGTATTGGCCAAAAAAATTAAATTATTTTGACTATTTGATTACTTTCCCTTTATTTAAGCCATTCCGAATATTATTAATTAGAAAGCTAATCTGTGTTAAAACACAACCATTTTTGGAAGTTTACTATACTTCAGCAATTACTGCAACTATGTTGTTATAAACATTCATACATATGCTCATAATATAAGCATAACGATCATAATAAACATGGCCACCTGTCTGTACTCTCCGCGCACACCAAAGGTTATGTTAATACAGAGAAAGGGGGAAAAGCTATTTCCAAGAGTATGATTCTCCATCTGACATTCCATATTAGGAAGAAAAGTTTATTTAGTTTCGGCTTTGGTACAGGAAAAAATTGTGCGTTCATTTAAAAAAAAAAGCACTGAAAGCAAAAAAATAAGCACTAAAAAAAAAAAAAAAAAAAAAAGGGTCTTTAAAGAAAAAGTAAGCACCTATAAGGGCCTTTATATTTTATTTTCAAATATAAGGACTTATAAGCACTTATAAGGACCGCTATGAACCCTTATTAACCACTCTGGATAAACCAAACATTTATGCTGAATATTTTAACAGATCACCTGTTAGAAAATTTGAGATAGGACAACAAATATTGTAACTTATTCCATATTTTAACAATAAAATATATCAAGATTGATCGGACCTGATGAGATAGTATAACACACTTCACTGCATTCCTATAAAGTTATGTTACCTGAAGGGAAAATTCTAAATGTACATATAAATAAAATTCAAAAGTACACTGCTAGAGTTCAAGCAGTGGATATAGTATTTGAAAATGAAAATGAATTCAGAGAAATTCATCCATTTCCATCTAGTAAGGCACATTCAAATGACAAAATTAAAGGAACAGCATACATTTGATTAGATCACCTAAAGCAGGGGGCCAGCTTTTCTATATACACTGCTGGAAAATTAAA